GGCACAGGACCCTCTCTGCCTGAATTTGGTGTAAATCTCACCCTTGAGCTCCTCTGGGACAGTGCACAATTGCCTTTAATTCCAGACTGTGGGAATTATGACACCCTCTTATGATAGCCACAGGCACTGAATTCACGTGTACAAATCCACACAGATACAGAATTAAAAGAAATGAAATGTCAGATGAGCATGGTGGTGCACCCCTTGTGATCCCAGTACACAGGGAGGCAGAGGCAGGCAGAGCCCAGTGAGTTCAAGGCCAGCCTGGGCTACCAACTGACAGCTAAGGTTATACAGGTTCTTTCTTCCTGTCTCAAGAAACCAAAACAAGAAAAAGAAACAAAGAAAGAAAGAACCTAACAAGAATCAATAGAAGATTCCAAGTAAATCAAAACTTCTCCAGATAAACACAACAAAAGGAAAAAAAAGTCAAGGAATGAATTAGGCCTGTTGAGATGGTTCTGGGCCAGGAATACACAGAAACAAAAGAGGAATGCTAAAAACAGAGTCCACTAAGCCCTGTGGAATAACATCCAGGAGACAAAAACAAATAAATTTTGAGAAAGGAGAGAAGGGGGAAGGAGAAGGAAGGAAGGAGAGAGGGATGGTGGAAGAAGAGAGAAAGGGAGAGAGAGGCTCTCCCTCTTTCAAAAAGAGGTTTTGATTCATGCAAAGTAAGATGTCCCAATACTCCAGAAACTTCCAAAAAGCCAAGCCTGTTGGTGCACACTTGGAATTTCAGCATTTACTTGCTGAGGTAGCTGGGTCTCAGGTCAGACCTATTCAGGCTACAAAGCCAGAAGTAACAAATGAAAAACAAAATTGGCTGAGATATCTGAGAACTCTTTTTTTCTGAAATATTTGTGGATTCCCCCCTTTAAGTCCTTATAATGATCTGTATTTGTATGTATCTATGACCTGTGTGTGTGTCGATGACCTGTGGATGTGTTTTTGTGTGTGTCTATAGCCTTGGTAGATTTTGCAGATGTGCATATTCACGTGTGTACAAGGACGCACAGGGGCTTCAGCACACCTGCAGATGTGAGCACACTGCCTAGAGTTCTGTCCTTCCCTGGCTTTTTAGTCCAGACAAGTCTTTAATGTGTCTCACAGCTAGCTGTGCTGTGAGAAGCCAGGGCTTCTCCTGTCTCCACAGCCTGTCTCTCCTTAAGAGAACTTTGAAGGTAGGTGGCCACCATACCCGGTTTCCGTGTGCTTTCTAGAGGCTCCATCGCAGCTCCTGACACAGCCACTGCTAGTGCTTTGCCCACGAGTCATCACCTCCCTGGCCCTACGTGAGAATTTCCTGTGAACATGATCTAATGCAAACAAAATGGTCTTGACTCCACATCTTTTCATTATGTCAGAAGATTATCCAAGAGTCTGGCTTTCAGAGAATAACAGTTCATAACACCTTCCTTATGATGGGAGGTGATTTGAGTACAATCTTACTTGTGGATTTAGTCTTTTAGAAGTCAGTTTATATGCCAAGCTCCCTCATAAAATACAGTTTGTCCCTTAAGAAGGCATTACCAAAGCAGCTTGTAAAACCTATCCAGGATGTCAAGAGCCATTCATGAACTCTAGAGAAGCTGTCTGGGATGCAGCAAGCTAGGGGAGGAAGGAACTTCCTCTGCCATGTTTTCATATTAAGAATCAAGCAAAGCATTTGTGCTACATCCACATATTGGACTGTAAGACCTAAAGCACTGAAGAGGACAGCACAGACCTACAGACTGAGCAACAGCACTTTGACAACTCACAAACTCCAACCAAGCCAGTGATCACGCAGTCACTCAGGAGGCATGTCTCTGCCCACAGGAAACACAAAGGAGAAAGACTCGAGGCCTGGCATGAGGAAGTTAGAACCTAGTTATTGACAAATGATGGCACTATAGGAAAATGGTTTTTAAAATACTGAGAATAAAAAGATCTCTAGGAGTTTTATAGGTGTTGAATCAATCTGACTGAACAGACAGGAACTGGAGCTGCTTCAGGAAAACAGGGAAGGCAGAAGCCAAATCTAGATAGAAGCTAACAGACCTGTGGGTAGGACATAAGAAAGTGCTCCCCAGAGCATAAGATGTGCAGGAAGGAGAAGTACAGGGAGAAGATTTGGGAACGGGGTAGGGAACAGAGCCCTCACTCCTTCTTACAGACAGTTGAGGGTAGGACACTCAGGTTTATGAATGAACCAAATAACCACATGCAAGGCACAGTACTCACACTGACCAAGCTCCTTAGGGACACCTTTAGGGCAGGCAGGATGATTCAGTGGCCTTTTAAAAAAGCCAACTACTGCTTTGCATGTGGCACTAAGCATTTTAAACCTTTCTAGGAAGTGCAGCCATTAACCTCTAGTTCAGATCTCTACAGAGCTCTTAGAAGGTGAGGGTCTGACTTCCAATAAGTTTTCAGGAAGCTGACCTGGCTTAGCCTAAGTTAAAGGTCATTTTTAAAAGACAAGGTGGCAGGACACAAAAGACAGTACTCACCACATGAGGTTCTGGTACCACAGCAGCATAAGTGTAACCATGGAAGCAAATGAGACTGAGGACATGGATAAGGGGACGCAGCACTCACTGTGGTGTTCGGTGCCCCGGACTTCAGACACCTGTCCATCAGCTCTGCTTTCTCTTACCAGTGAGCTCCAGTCTCCCACCTGTGTGGCTGACCCAGATGCAATGGGGACCACTTCTACACAAGTCTTTTCTGAGTCAGGAACCTGTGGTAACTTACCTGGTCTTGGCATCACACTTACCCCAGGCTGATGCTGATGTGCTGAAGGCTAAGTCCTCAAGGCTTCCTCTAGGCCACACACCAATGGTGGGTTGCCAGGTGTGGTACCTACAGAAAAGGCTTCAGCCTTTGTGGATGACTATGATTCCGCAGGACTCACCTTCTCACAGGCATTTTCTGCATCAGCAACCTCTATCCCAGTTTGACCAAGGCTCCCTCCCCACATCAAATCTTTAGCTACCTTTTGTAGACAGAAGGAAACATTCTGCACCACTTCTTTCTCCTTCAAATAAAAGGATTTAGGCTGATACTTTTCATCTTGGAAGAAAAAGCTTTGTCAGCATGCAGATGCCCAAACTGTAGTTCTGTTCAGGTCTAACTTCCCAGCTCACAATCCATATTTGCCAGGATATCCCTGGAGCCATGGAACATAGCTGCTACCCCCTTCCTGAGTTACTACATAGTTGTCTTCAGCCACATGTTAATCTCAATCTTCTCAGGACTGTGTGTGTGTATTTGTGTGTGTGTGTGTTGGCACCTGCATGCATACACATGTGCTTGCAAATGAGTGCAGATGTTAGCCATCAACTTTCAGTATTGATCATCAGGTGTAGCCTACATCACATTTTTTCTAAGAAAGTGTCTTTCATTGGTCAGGCTGGCGGTCTCTACCTTCCCAGGGCTGGGGTTACCCACATATACCGCCCTGTCTAGATTTTTATTATCATTATCAGTTGATACTTGGCTGGGCCCAGAGCTCAGGTCCTCACACTGTGTGGGAAGCACTTCATGGACTGACAGTCTCTCAGGCCTGCACTCTATTCTTTCCTGAAGTCTGGATGTGCCTTCACAGTACCTGATAACCTGCCATCCACAGATCTACTTCATAGCTTTGCAAACAAGTGTTTTCTGTATGCCAGCCAAGGCTGAACGGTCAAAACAGCTCCAAAGTTACATCTGCTGTTTTGGTGGTCTCTAGTGAACTTGGACTGAAAATAAAGCCTCCAATTTTGTTTCTGAAGATCACCTAAATTTAGTGACATTTGAAACAACACTGATGTCTTTTAATAAACTCCTTTCACTCAGTGCTTTAGAAATGTTTGGGTGAGAGCAGCTCAGCCCCTGCTGACCGTCAACACCAGCACAGGAACAGCCCAGAGGACAGATACACAGCCGTGTGCAGGGGACTCAGCGTGCATCCCTGGCCGCCACCGGAGCACTGCAGGGCCCTGAGATCAGCTCCATGAGCCGAAATTAACTCCACCCAACAAGAGCCTCTGCACACTGCTGGGAAGATCAGTGACTGCACAAAGCTTTAGGGTTAAGTACAGGATTCAAATGTCCCACCCCTGTGATCTGAAACACCTTATGTTCTGGTGAGAATGTTCACTATGGTCAGGTTTCTTATTGTGTAGATATGGCAAAAAGGTCACAAATCTCTGTCCTCAAGTCATCCTCTTGGACACATACGGTCAATCTGTAAGAATCCTCCATACCACTGGTGGTTGGTATTTCTGAGTCACTGACATTTGTGCCCCTGAGATGAACTCGCCCATTAAAACCACTGACTTCATGGGGGCATCACAGCACAGTGTCGAGAACAGGCTCAACAGCCAACACACAATCCTCCTGCTCTGTTACCTTCACACTGACCTTGTCTGCTAGGTGCTATTTGTACTCCTTGCTATACCTCTGTAAAAAATGGCTCTTGAGGTTTTTGGCTTTTGGGAAAATGACACAATCTGAAGTACAAGAAAGAAGTGGTGAATTAGAAGAGTTCTAATGTCAGAAAAAAGGAGGAAGAAGACAGGTTGGGAGAGGCAGCAATGTCTCACTTATGACATCCTGCTCCTCTCTGCTGCTCTGCAGAGGCCGCACCAGCTTCTCTTCTGCCCAGTGCTCAGGATCTGGAACTTTTAGGTCAGCCACAGAGATAAAGACAACCCACACTAAGGATGTTCTTCCTCACTGCACTGGTGACAGTTCAACATTTGCTGCACTTCAATGGTTTCTCAACCAAGAGTTCAAAGAAAAAGATCAGCGTGACTAGGATGTACAGAAAAGATCCAAATGAGGACCTGAGATATGACCTCTGCATACAGGGTTCCAGGTGTGCCTAGAGTGAAAAGAGGCACACTTTGAAAGGCCTTGTCCCCTTATTTTGAATTATCAAATCTATCTGTGATTATATATGGAAAATTTGGCAGTATACATATATGGCCTAAGTCAGTGATTTTTTTAAAAAATACTTTGTTGGCGTATTTTTAAAAATTCTCTTATATTTATTTTATCTTTCTCCCTACTCCACCCTAACCCCTTCCAACACCAGGTAGGAGAGAAAAAGGGTTAGTGGGAGAAGGGGTGCAGTTCTCTTAGCTGCTTCCTGCTGGTTAGGGTCATCCTGTTCCTTGGAGCCAGTCCAATCCTCGTTTCAGGAGATCTCCAACTTCTTGTCTCACTGCAGCAACCAGAAGCAGCAAGGGAGAAGCAGGAGCAGCCTTGTTCCTTCTCAGAGCTCCCACACTCTTTGGGCTCCGGCATTTATTCTCTCTCCAGAGTCTTCAGATTTAAACTCTCTGCAGGTGGCAAAGAGCTCCTCTCAGAGCCCGCATGAGGCAAATGGTCTGCTGCTGTGGACCATCTGGATCAGTCCCACATCCCACACCTGGGACCAAAATAAAAACATGTTTCTACCCACAACAGTATTTGCTTTCCTTTTAGCTCAGTGAAATACTTGAGATAGCCCACTTTCATATTCTGATACAGAGTATATAGAGGCTGATACATATAGTATATATGTCATATATAAACTATGCACACACATTTTCTGCAAGCCAAACAAGTCTCTTATGGAAATCAAGAGAATCCACATCCACCACAGGTAAAGGTAGGTGCCATAAGACCAAGAGGAGCGTGGCATTGTAGTCAGCTTTTTATCATTAAAAACAAAGAAACAAACAAAAAAACACCTAAGATAGTTAGCTTATGAATAGAAAAGGTTTGTTTTGCTTCATAGTGTTGGAAGTTTCAGCCCACAGTCAGTTATGGGAGGGTGCCATTGCAAGGAACACTCAGTAGAGCAAGCTGAAGGCCCGGACAGAGGACAGGAAGCGGTGCTGATGTGGCTCAGTTGGCAGAGCGGTTGCCTAATACGCATGGAGTCCTCGGATTTCTCTTTAGCCTTTCATAATCCTAGGTGTGGTGACACCTGCCTGTAACCCCAGAAGTTGTTATGTGAAGGCAGGAGGATCAGAAGTTTGCAGGCATTCCTGGCTACATAGCAAGCTCGATGCTGACTGGGCTGCCAGAGCCCGTGCTTTTAAAAAGTTGGAGAATGGTCTGAATATGGTGGTTCACGCCTTTACCCCAGCACTCAGGAGGCAGATTCGGGTGGATCGTTATTTAGCCTCGTTTAGTTTCAAGCCAGTCAGACTTACACAATAAGACCTCGTGTTGGAAGACAGAGAAGTGGGGAGAGAATGAGCTGCATCTCCTTATCCCTTCAATTGAATACTCCCAAAGACCAGAAGCTCTGACCCGCTTTTAAAGGTTCCATGACCTAGTAAAGAACAAAGCCTGAAAAACACTGTAGAGGAATTTTAATCCAGAAACATGGCTTTCCCCATCCCAAACCCCTCTGAACCGCTCTCCTAAATTCTCTTTTTCTGTCTCTTCTGCTGAGAGTTGGGCATATCCTATCCTGACTCATTCTATCAAATCCTTTTCTAAGGGCGTGTCTGTATTCTAGTCAGAGTAGCCAGGCCGCTGGATTAAAATACCTCTGCAAATATATATTTAAATAAGGAAAAATGTGTTGTAACAAACTTTTGGTATCCCCCCGCCCCGGAGGGAAAAGGATACACGTGTGAAAGTAAATACTATAAATACTATACAAAATGTAAACAAGTGACGAGGTCGTGAAGAACTCAGGAATCTGAGGGGTGGGGCTGGACTGTCTGTTCCCGGTCCTGAGCAGTTCTACAAGTGCACGTATTAATTAGCGTAGCTGTGACACCGGCCTCCAGCTTCAGAACAAATAGAACCAAGGGCGGGTTGACAAAACTCACTCTACGCCGAGCGTGTGACGTCATCACGACGTGGCAAGGCGCACGCAAATTGCGGAGGCACCGGACACGGCGCTTTCCTGCGCCGACGCTCTGGTCCCAGTGGCGTCTTCTGGCAGCTCTGAGGCGCCACTTTGGCCGCTCTGGCACGCCTGGCGTTGGGTGGGCGGCATTTCTGCGCCCACATGAGCCACTGGTATTATGGCCGCAGTGTTCGCGGTCGGGGCCGGGACTTCGCTGTCCGTGCCCCACCCAAGAAGAAAGGCAGAAACCACATCCCAGAAAGGTAAGGCGCTTTGGTTCCGGGCTGGGTCGTTCCGGCCGCCTCGGCGGCCTAGGTCTCGGTGTCTCCCGGCCGCGCGCCCTTCCGCCTCCCAGAGTCCTCCGCGCCGAACCCCACCGCACACTTCCTACCTGGCATTCTAGGGTCTTAGGTGTGTCCCGGGGGGCCTCTGTCTGTGAAGTTCGGGCCAGCGCGGTGGGGCGCGGCTGTCAGTATTGGGTCCCTTGATCACTGAGAGTCTTAAGATAGCTTAGGCGCTGTGTGAGGCTTCCGGTGTGAGCTGTACACTCCCTGCCCTTGGCACTAGCTGGAGAGGTTCTTTTGCTTCCAGGACTCTGGAGGCGGAGTTGTCATTTGAGGGAGTTCCCCCTGCCTGTGCCAATGGTTAGTTTTATGATTTTGCTTACGGGGGCCGTGAACACTTTACTTCCTGCAACTGTTTGCTTCCCTGCCCAGGTTTCAAAGTCCGTCGTTTTATCTCCACAAATAAGGAATAGCTAAAACCAGGCGTAGCCAGATCGGCCTCTCCCCTTCCTAGAATGCATCAAGTCCTTTGTTTTATCTCCACAAATGAGCAATACCTAAAACCCAGGATGCACTGAATGTCCTCCCCCCAGCCCCGGACTTCAGCAAGCACTCTTATTTCCACGAATGAGCAACACCTAAAATTCAGGATGGACGTAATGTCCTCCCTCCCTAGACTTTTATCTCCTGGTTATCTTTAGAGTCTGTCAGCTTTCCTCCTTCAGCATCCCGCTGTAGAACTTGCCTGTCATGTTGCAGAAAACAGATGTCCATTTACCTACTGTCATTTCCTTCCAATCCATTCCTTTTTCTATTTTTTTAAGATTTATTTGTTGTGTATACAGTGTTCTGCCTGCATGCCAGAAGAGGACACCAGATCTCATTATAGATGGCTGTGAGCCACCATGTGGTTGCTGGGAATTGAACCCAGGACCTTTGGAAGAACAGCCAGTGTTCTTCACTTCTGAGCCATCTCTCTAGCCTTCTCTAATCCATTCTTAACATACCTTTATATAGTTCATTATTTAAACTAAATATTGAATAGTAGTTGGGAGACAGCTCACAGATGTAAGGTAAAGCTTGGCTTTAAAAATAAAAAGCCAATCCTTGTCATGTCCTGTAACAGTAGGTTCTACTGTTCTGGGGTCTGCTGTGTCTCCAGCCAGGTCTCTTGCCCACTCAGTCCTCACTCTGTGCTTCAGGTTTACTGAATGAACTCTATTTATTTATAATTCACGGACAGAGACCAGCTCAGTTCTGACTCTCCACACTGACCCCGGGCAGGACTGAAATTCAGAGTGTCTATTCATGTAACAACTGGGCAATTTCTACACATTGAATTGATGTCACTTGTGTAGAAACCAAAAAACTATGCGCAGTGAAAGTATTGAATTTGAGGTCTTTCAGCTAGTGTATAGGTAGTTATTACTTCTTACTGTCTAACAGTTTTAGTTACCATTCAAAATATGAATTTCATTATGACATCTTCTATATGTATATCAGACTTTCTTGTTATAGTAAGACACACAATACAACTCCCCCCCCTTATTTTTTCTAGTTTCTTTCCTCCTCCTCCTAAATAATTCACCAATGTTTTCATGTCTCAAATATGTATATTCGTTATATATTTAAAACTAGATTCCACATAGGAGGGAAAATGTACACTATCTATCTTCCTTCCCCCTTTCTGCCTCTTGTTACCCTCTCCCCTCCCTTTAGGCCTCTTCCCTGACACAATCCCCCTTTTGCTTTCATGTCTGATATATCACCTTAGTATTTGATGCTAGGCTGGATTTATTAGGGATACAAAGGTCTGGCCATTCTTGCTTTTGGGTATTTCTTGTTTTGGGAGACCTATGTGCTATTTTGTTGTCTTGTTTCTGTTTTCAAGATAGGGAAGCAGGTGGAAGGGAAATGTAGGTTGTTATTTGTGCAGAATGAATAGGTTTGAGGGACATTTTGTGTGTGCTAGGTGCCCCATTATCTTGGAGGCTTATTCTGATAGGAGGCAAGGGTGACATTCAGTTTGATTAACAAATACGCTATGTCACAGATGGAAAGACTATCTTCCAGTTGGACAACGGATGCCTGGGACCCGTTTCATTGCTTTCAAAGTTCCTTTGCAAAAGGTAAATGAAAGTTAATTCAGTATATTTTCAGAACTCAACGTTTCCCGTGGAGAACACTAGCTCTCAACCTGGTTGCTCTCTATTTTCCTGGTTTGTGTCACTTTCTTGTTCTGAAACTAGATCCACAGATAGTAGAATCTACATCTATATCTAATTGTAGGAAAAGACAGTGTAATTCCTGTCCTGTATTATAAAGAGTCATTATAGTATGTTGTATTTTATGTTTGCCTGACAAAACTAGATGTGTTGATATGGTGGTCGCTCTACTGGGAATTCAGTAGAATTGGCGGGGATGGGGGATGTAGGCAGGTAGGTGGTTGGTTGGTTGTGAAATGCAATAGGTTTTAAGGCTTAGAGAAAGTGTTTTGTGTTTTTTTTTCCTTACCTATTTAATTCTGAAGTCATTCAGGCAAGGGGACACAAACACAGAAGTAAGTATATCAAAGTGAGCTTTTGTTCTTCCCACCACTGGAAGAAAGATTGTTACCAGCTTTCAGAAGAGCAGAGCCTGCCCTTTGAGTCGCGTGTGCTCATCGCATAGGGCTGGAATAATGCATAATGTGGTGCAGGACTGTAAGCAGGTGGCTCTCTCTTACTTCACTCTCTGACAGAAATTTGAAGCGAAGCTTATGCCAGAAGAATGCTTTTCTCCTTTGGATCTTTTTAATAAAATTCAAGAACAAAACGAAGAACTTGGATTGATAATCGATTTAACATATACTCAGCGCTATTATAAAATAGAGGTAAGTGGACTTTCCAACTGAAAACAAAACTCATCCTGTGCTGATGTGAAAACCATGCTTTATTCATAGGTAGTAATAATTTTAAAAGAAAAGCAAATAGTTTCCGTAATTTCATATTGAAATGAGATTGGAGGCCAGGCATGGTAGTGAATGGCTATAGTCCCAGTTCTTAGGAGCCTAAGGCAGGAAGATCACAAATTCAAGGCCAGCTTGGACTATATAAGTCTTAAGCAACAGCTAAACACACACACAATTCCTTGGATACAGTAACTGAACTATAATATGTAGTAGTCATTACCCAAGTCTTTCATCAGGAAAAGTTCTGTAACCATTGAACATCAATTCTTCCTTCTCTTACACTCCAGAACCCCAGCAGCCCCTTACCTGCTTTATTACTACAAATTTCCCAGTTCTAGGTATTTTATACACATAGCACAATGTAATATATATTTAAATGTTTTTAATTTAATTAAAATACAATTCTGTCATTTCCTTCTTCCTTTCTTTATCCTCTTCCAGCCCTCCTTTCAAATTCATAGCCTCTTTTTCTTTACTGTTGCTGCCTGTGTATGCAAATATATAAATGCAACCTGCTGAGTCCATTTAGTTTTGCTTGTATGTTTTTTCAGGTTGACCACTTTAGGGTGCTTATTAGAAGGTTTAATTCTCCCTCTCTCTGTAGTTTTTAATTGCCTGTAGTTCTTCATCTAGGGGTAGGGCCCTTTGCAATTTCTCCCATCCATGTTGGCTTGTCAACTGGTGTTACTGTTCAGATCTTGTTTAAGCACCCACATTGTTGAAATTTCATGGGTATAGCTATCCCTGTTATATCTATAAAGAATAATCTTGCAGCTGACTTCCTGGTCCTCGAGCCCAAGTCTTTCTACCTCCCTCTTAGATGTTCTCGGAGCCTTAGATGTAAGGGTTATACTTTAGGTGTATCGATTGGGCCTCACAGTCAGTTGTTCTCTGCATTTTGACTAGTTGTAGCTTTTTGTAATAATCTTTGTGCTGCTGGGGGAAAAAGTATCTTTGATGAAGTGGGAAAGTTATTTATCTGTGGAGTAAATTTTTTGAGGTTTATTTTTTATTTATTTGTATGAGTGTTTGCCTGGTTGTACATATGTGCATGAAGGACATGCTGGGCCTGTGGAGGGCAGAGGTGGGCATTACATCCCTATAACTGGAATTACAGATGGTTGTGAAATGTTGTATGGGTGCTGGGAATTGAACCTGAGTCTTCTGCAAGAGTAGCCAGTGCTCTTAACCATTGAGCCATCTCTCCAGCTCCAGTATCATGTAACACTTGTCTTTTTCTGTCTGAATTATTTTAGTAATTATATTTCTGACATTTATTAAAGCACATACCAGAATGTTTTTCTTTTCTGGCTCAATATTAAGTTATATGTATATGCTGTATTTCATTATTGCTCCTATCTGTTTCAGCCCATTCTGCCTTCCTTACTCCCTAACCTCTGTGTATGGGGGGAGGGCTAGTCTTTGGGAAGAGTCCCACTCTGAGGCCCTGGCTGGCCTGAAATTCATTATATATACCAGCTGGTCTCCAGCTGCCTACTCCTGCTTCCCACGTGCAGGCAGGGCTGCAGGGATTCGGAGTGTACCACCACATCCAGCTTGAACCCTCAGATGTTACAGAATTTATCTCTACATCTTTGGTCTGCATAGTTAAGATACAATATGCTTTCTTAATATCAGTTCTTTTATGTAAGATAGGCAATCTGATAACTCCTAAGTATCATAAAAATTGCCAATTTGCAGGTAGTTTTCTGCCAAACCTGATTAAGTGTCCTGATTGCTGTCTATGTCCCTTTTATTTTCTTGTTGTCCCTCTCTTGAATTCTGTGCTTTGAGAGACCCCGCCAGGCTGTAGTGTCTCGATGTTGGCTGAGCATCTCCCTGTGCTGGCAGACTCCTTTTGCTGTCAGCCACTGGGCTAGCACAACCGATTCCAGATTGAGTTTTCCTTTCTCCTTTTCTCCCTCCTCTCTCCTTCTGTTCCCCTGGTTTCTATTTTCTTTCCCTTTCCTACCCTCCTTCCCTCTCTTCCTTATTTTTTTGTTTTGGGTTTAGTATTTGAAACAGAGTCTTAACATTTAGCCCTGGCTCACCTAATACTCCTGATCTTCCTCCTCAGTCTCTCTAATGCTGGAATTATAGATCTACAGCACTCCACCTGCCTTGATTCTTTTTTTTTTTTTTTTTTTATTTTTTTTTTTTTTTTTTGAGATGGTGTCCCCCATTGCCCAGGCTGTCCTCAGTCACCTAGCCTCTTGCCCCTACCGCCCGAGTGCTGTGATTACAGGCATGGACCATCACACCCAGCTTGATTTCCTTTTCTAAAAAGTCTTTGTTTTAATATGTATGTTTGTGTCCCAGCATGAGTTTATGTGCGCCTCATGCGTACTAGAGCCTACAGATGTTAGATCCACTGGAACTGGCGTTACAGACAGCTGTGACTGGCTATATGAGTCTTGGGAAGCAAACCCTCACTCTGCCAGAGCAGGAAAGGCTCTGAGCTGAGAGCCACTGCTCCGGCTGCCTTGATTTTCTTTGTATCATGGCACTTTTGAGCATGTCTGTATATTTTAAGATGGGTTCTTGCTATGTTGCCCATGTTGATCTTGAACTCTTGTGCTCAGTTGGACCTTCTGCCTCAGCCTACTAAAACACATAGACAGCAAGGGTGTACTGCCATGCCTGACCTGAGATGTTTTCACAGCTGGTCATGTGCTAGGGGTTAAGTAATGAGTGGCTGTGTCTTAGGGTATTAGCAGTTGTTGATGACTAATCTATTCATTCCTTTGAGGGCTCAAAAAGTTGATTTTCTTTTTTCTTTTTTCTTTTTTGAGACAGGCTCTTGCTGTGTAGCCCAGGCTGACTTCAAACTCAAGAGTGTCGTGCCTCAGCCTCCCAGAGTCTAGGATTACAGGTGTGCGCCACCATTCACCAGGCTGTGCAGGTGAATCTTACCATTCATGTTTTACTTAATGACATTTCTGCTTGTTTATTTACTCAGTGATGTCAACAGGGTATTTCCTCTGTGTAACAGCTTTCAAAATAATATCTTGGTTCCCTGATCCCTGCCAATAGTGGCTAGTCAGGTTTTATTTAATTAATTAAATTTTTTCTATCATTACAAATGCCCCTACAATTGCCTTTTGCAATTAGAGTACAGGTGGAGGGCTTCCCGTTGGATAGTTGGAACTTCTCAGTTTGTCTCCTAAAACCTTTTTTAAAAAATATGATTGAGAATTTCGTACATGTATAATATGCGTTTTGATCACACTCACTCCAACACCAGCTAATTCATCCTGATTTTCACTCTCAATGTCATGTCCTTCTTTTATTTGATTTTTATAAGTTCAACACATGCAGAAGGTACCATGGAGGGTAGAAGAGAGTGTCACATCCTCTAGACCTGGTTGCCAGCTTCCTCGTGTGGGTACTGGAAACTGAGCCATTTCTTCACCCCACCCCCATGCTGCCTTTTAAAAAGGAACCACTGCATCCAAAATTAGCACTGTTCAAGTGCACGTGTGTGAAGCATCTCCTGGAACATGGCCGATTACCCAGGGCCACACCCCTGAGGAAGACTGGCTCCCCCTTCCCAAGCCGCTATCAGCTGCCAGTAGCTCCTCAGCCTGACTAAACCATTTCTCAGTGCTAATCTGTTGACGTGTCCTGATCATCTGTGATCACTTTTTCTACATGAAAGAAGTTTCAGGCTCATCTTAGCTGTTTCCTGCTCCAACTTGACTCAGTCCTTGCAGAAAACTTTGTGCTGATAATTTTCCAGACACTGTTGTCAGGCATATTTATTGTTAATAGAATATTGTTCTGAAGCTTTTCTTGTGGACAGAGCTAGGAACTCTATAAAATTCATGATAATGCTTTCCACCTAAACCCAGAGTTACAGATTTTCACATAACCTCTCTTTTTTCCCTGAGATTTATTTTATTTGTGTGCGTGTGTGCATGCATGCATGTGTGTGTTTTGTCTGTGTGTTTTCTGTGTTTGTCTGTCTGCCACATGTGTGTAGGTGCCTACTGAGGTCAGAAGAGGGCGCCGGATCCTCTGGAGCAGGAGTTACGGCTGTTGTGAGCCATCAGACATGGGTGTTGAGAACTGAACTACGTCCGCTGGAAGAACAACAAGCACTCTTAAACCTGAGCCATCTCTCCAGACCCACACCTACCCTCTTTGTTTTTTTTTTCCCCTAACCATAACTTCTTTGCCCAGCTCATTACTACTTTGTGAAGGCACAGAAAGGTGAAATAACTAAGTAGAACTGTTCATATAATTTTTAGTCACGCAATATATGCGCCCTCATTCAAATTGAATTTGGTGTGTTTTGTATACTTCATGACTGTTCTGCAGTTGTAATGAAAATCAAGTGCTATTTCCTAGTTGAAACAGCTTTGTAAGAAGTACCTCTTTAGCTTTAGTCAGAATTGCTATCACAGTAAGTTTATCATTACTAGTTTATATTCAGGCTCCTCATATCTTTCTTTATCTACCTACAAATGAAATAATGTATACTTTTCTTTGTTTTGCTTTCTAGGATTTGCCAGAAACTATTTCTTACATAAAAATTTTTACAGTTGGTCATCAGGTACCTGATAATGACACTATTTTTAAGTTCAAATGTGCAGTTAAAGAATTTTTAAAGAAAAATAAAGACAATGGTAAGTCCTTGAGGTTTCTTTTTCTTTTTATCCTGAACTCTTTTGTACATTTTGAATAGGTTTGGGACTTTTTTTTTAATCTTTTATTTTGAATTATGTGTGTGTGCTCGTGGCTCTGTGCCTGTGAATGCGGGTACTGAGTCCAGAGGCATCAGGTTCCCTCCACCTGCAGTTATGGGCAGTTGTAAGCCATGCAGTACAGGTGCTGGAAACCAAACTCGGGTCCTCGTCAAGAGCAGATGTCCTCTCAAGCACTGAAGCGTCTCGGAGTTTGAAAATGTCAGCTGGTAGTAATAAAGTGTTTTCCTCTTGTTGGCCACACAAAACAAAACTTAAGTGAGAAATGTGTCTATGATGGAAGTGTTTCTCTTTTTCTGTTGCTAAGGGATGAGTGGTAGAAGATTAAAAATCTCAGGGTCCCAGAGTTCCATAAAGAAGCAACAGAAGACACAGGTTAGGAGTGACACAGCCCCGTAGGAAAACAGCACAAGTAGGCCGAGAGAGTGGCATCTTTGTCACACATACTGAAGGTGTTTCTGTTGTTTTCCCGTTTTGAGTATAGTTGCGGTTGTTACTAGCACAAGTGGAGGCTGGACTGAGGTCTGTAGATTAACTGCAGAGCACTTCCCTGGCCCCTGAGCCCCAGCTTCGAACCTCAGCACTGCACATGCAGCCACATCCCAGTTTCCTCTTTATGTAGGATAGACGGCTTTGTCTAACGCAAGTCTAACCTAATGGTGCCTCTGCACTTTACATCATTGTGTCTAACCAGTGCTTGCAGAACTCCACAACAATGAGCTTTTGGGAGGTGATTCTTGATAACGTTTTTAAAGTCACTTTCCTTTTCAACATAGCAGTAATATTTCACTAACTTGTAAGTGTTGCTCTTCAGAAAGTTTCCCAACTTATTTTTGGTGTATCTTGCTTCCTTTACTTAACTCTGAATTTCCTGTTTTATAGACAAACTTATTGGTGTTCACTGCACCCATGGCTTAAACAGGACTGGCTACCTCATTTGCAGGTGAGTTGCCAACCCAAAAGCCAAACAGTGTTTAATGTGTCTGTGTGGTTGCAGTAGTAGTGTAAGCTGGAAGTGGTAAAGTATAGAGCAGTGTTGTCTCTACCCAGAGACTGCCTTCAGCAGTATATTGCAGAGCTCACAAATGCAGATGTAAGCACACCTATGTCTATCTGAAATCAGATTTGCAATTTAATATGCAGTAGGTATCTTCCTGTGGAAGTATTTGGAGACCTTATATTTTAAAGGCTACACTGTTTTTAGTGTGTTTTTGTTTTTGTGTTGTTTTGTTTTGCATACTGATGAACATGCACATCAGAACTTGGGGTATGATAAAATAGAAAAGTGGTATGAGCATCTTTGGATCCACATGCCACTGACTGAGCAATAACCTTACTTGACATGCAGATTCTGAATTCAGATGTGATTTTTAAGGAACTGTGTTGTGTGACTTTGTTTGTCCATTCAGACAGTCCTTCCTGAGATGTGGTTTTTGTGAGCAGTGTGAGTGCTGGCAGAGAAATTTAACCTGAAGAAATAATGAAGACTATAATAATAAAAATAATGAGAATATAGATCTGCCACTGTCGTGTGCTAAGGAAGACGGGTCCATGGTACCATGAGAGCAAATGATAGGGCAGTCTGACCTACCATCAAGACAGTACATTTCCATGGAAGGGTTGAGCAGTACCTGACAGTTTACCTAGCGCTAGCGGTGTCAGGACACTGAAGAGAGACCACGGCTCAGCCAAGCCCCTAGAGTAGGACGGGGTGCTGCACTGGAGGAGGGGGCAGTGCAGCGAGTGTGGCTTGAAGTGGAACTGCGGGTGTGGAAGGGCTCAAAACTAGGCCATGCAAAGTGGAATTTCAGTCTGCTTGTTGTTACACCTTTCGGGGGTGTGCTGAACACATCTCTTTCTGCTGAGTAAGAATGTTCTAAGGAGGTAGAGCAAGGCGTCATCAGGTTTTTGTATGAACTGAAGTGTGGTCACTTGGACCAGATGTCGAGGCCATTTTGGTGGAAAGATGTTGTCATCACTGTCAGGACCCTGGTGGTAGATTGAGGGTGAGAATGAGGAAAAAGTGGGTGACAGTAATGGTAGCTCCTGTTTCTGGCCCATATAAGTTGGTTTTCTAGTATTTTTAGCTATGTTACTATTTTTCCCAGTTGCTTTATGTGTTGTTGGTTCCTGATGAATATACAGTAATATTAAGGAAGCCTCTGTTTTTAATTCACAAAGCATTTTGATGAAAATAACTACTGAATCTATCTTTTAAGCATTTTCCAGTTTGGTCATGCATTTCCTTTATTAAGTATGTTGTTATATTAATGTAAGTACCTTTATTAATAAATTTCTTAGTCAATCTTTGGGTAGTCTTTTTCTATGGTCATGACCTGTCATTTTGTAACTGTTGGATTAGATATCTAGTATTTTCTTAGGATCTGTATGTCTCCACTTGTAAGTGAAATTGGACCTGTTTTGATTTTTTTTTCTTATATTTAAGTGACCCAAATTATGTTGTTTTGTTAGATATTTGATTGATGTAGAAGGCATGAGGCCAGATGATGCAATTGAATGTAAGTATGAGGGGTGTCACTATTTTTCCCTTTCTATAAAAGCGAAATGTGGAAATGGTAGATCCACTTTTTAGGTTTTGGAAAAAATTTCATATCCAATATAAAATGCCAAAAAGAAAGTGAAGAGAGAGAAGGAAGGAAAACTAGCTCTTGGGGCTGGGGATGTGGCTCAGCGATAGAACATCTGCTGAGTATGTGTGAAACCTGAGTTTGATCTCCAGTACCAAAAGAAAGAAAGAAAAATCATAGCATAAGTTGTCCTTTGCCAAAAGCTTATGGAGGAACATATCTGCAGGTAGTGAGGTGTAACAGCATAATGGTTAGCCAGTGCATATGAGCTTTGCTTTCAATCTCTGGGCAAGATTTCTTCCGTGTGATTGTTTCTGATAGTACATCTTCATCCACCCCTCAGTATTCAACAGGTGTCGGGGGCACTGCATAGAAAGACAGAATTACATTGAAAACCTGCAGAATCATCGTGTCAAAAAGGAAGTCTTCCGTCTTGTTAGGTGAGGTTTGTGGTTAGGGAATCCTCTTTGAAATAATTCACTGCTACATTACCCTGGAACTTTCTCACTTGCTGAGTAAACCCTAAACCAATAGAAATGGGGGAGATGAGATCATATGTTCACAAACCAAAATATGTAATCACTAAACTGGCCACTGGAACTGGAGTCTTGTGACACTGAGGACACTTCTCTTCTAGAAACCGGAATGTTAGTACACCTAAGTCAGGTGGTCCTGAAGACGCAGCACATCCTATGGCACAAGTCCATACCACTAACAAGCCTCTGCACCAAGGACCTAGGAACAACCGGCCTGCTGGCCGTCCACCACCTTTCCGGCGTTTTCATACCCAGACCCAGAACTTAAAGCAGCCACTCAGGTACGTGTTCTCCCTTTCCTAGAACTGAGATGGAGACTGTCCTTTAAGCCGGGGAAAGTACATTGTGATAGTGGCCAGCGGTTGCTGTTTCTTCAGATCCGTTTCAGTCATGCTGCCCTGCAAATCAAAACCTAAGTGGGAAATGTGTGGCTCTTCAGAGGCAGATGAGAAAAGGAAATTTTATTTATTATTTTCAAATTTAGTTTTATCCAGGAGGAGTTAGATGGGGCTACTAGAAGATAAAATCTTACATTCTTGGGATCATACCCAAGCTTCTACCTCTGAGATATAGCCCTAGGCTTTGAGACCTCTGAATTCTTAAGCTACATTGTGTTTGGAATAAGGAAGGCTGTTACTCAGAGAACAAAAAAAAGCCAAGTGGGGTAGTGGGTGCCTGTAACCCCAACACTGGGAGCTAGGGACAGGGAGATCAGGGGCTCATCAGTGTCTACATAGTGAGTTTGAGGTCAGCCTAGACCACATGAGACTCTGTCTCAAACAAAAAACAGAACAACAGAGAAAGAAATTCTGAGAGGTAATAAACTCAATAGAGATATTTGCAAATGATTTGAGCAGATTAAATCATAAAAGTATTTCACTTAGGAAATGAGAAAATTCTTGGTTCAGTCAAAATAGGATTCTCCAGAGAAAAGGAAAGCTAGAGGAGGGTAGGCAGGTAGACAAGAGAGGCCTTTATTATGGTGACTGACACGTGTGACTGTAGGTGAAGTCCCTCAGCAAGTCCTGAGGCCCAAGGAGTATGGTAAGTCTATAGGAGTTGTGGAGAAAGGCCTGAGAAGCCTTGGGATAGGGGGTGGAGGGGCAGGAGAGGGTAGCTTTGCCTTTTCTCTGCCTTTGTTCACAATCCATCTACGTGATTGGTGCCTGCCCCCCGGGAGGCAGATCGCACTTATTCAGTCTGCTCTCCATGCATCAGTCTCTGTAGAAACACTCTGTTGGCAAGTGCAAAAACAACACTTCACTAGCTCTGTAGCTGTTCCTTACTCTAGTCAAGATGCTATCTAAAATTAACTATCATAGCTTGCAAGATATTTTTGGCTGCTAATTTAGGTTAAGTTTTTATGAGTACTTGAGGGTTCTAACTGTAAGGCTGGGTTTGAATTTGTCTCCTTACTCTGCCATTCACACTATGTACAATCTTGGGTGAGACCACATCTTTCATTTCCATTCTCTGAGGTAGAGATTTTTAAACACACAACCCATAACTAGGGTTGTTGTGTGCTACTTTTGTTAAAGCAAATTGGTACATTGTAACACTTTTTTTTTTTAATGCTGGTGACACTGAGCATGGGAGTTACCCTTTTGACTTAGCTTTAATGGCCGTGAAGATGTTCAATTCTATATTGAGACTACTTTTCAAATTCTGCTGTTGGAGACAGAGCTAGATGCACTGTGTATAGTGGTATATATTATGAGATGCTAATCCCCAAAATACTGGTGGTCGGAAAACTCATAGTAGCCTGTGATTCTAAGAATGGGGAGACAGCTAAGCGACCGTAACCATACTGTGACATTTCATAAAGCTACTGAAATTGAAACTTATTTATAATAGTAAAAAGTAGCAGGGGCTGGAGAGTTGGCTCAGCAGTTAAGAACACTGCTCTTGAAGAAGACACAGGTTCAGTTCCCAGCAGCAACATAGCTGCTCACAACTGACAGTAACAACAGTCAAAAAGGTGAAAAGGAATAGAGACTAAAGAAGCAAATCATCCTTTTTGACAGAGTGGGATTGTGTGAGAGAGAGACAGAGAGAGCGCCTTCATGTGAAGTCAGAGGACAACTCCAGTGTCACCCTTCACACTTTCAGCTTGTCTGAGACAGAGCCTCTTGGAGTTCCCCTGCACCTGCTAGGCCAGCTGCCCTGGAGCCTCCAGGGATCCCCCTGTCTCTGCCTCCACATTGTCATAGGGATTACAGACACATGCTCCTGTTTCTCAGCTTTCTGTGGGTTCTGTGGTTCTAGCCCCAAGTCCTCACACATGTGCCACTGAGCCATTGCCCCAGTCCTAGCTCCATCTTATAAAAGTGAAGAGAAAGATAAGTGATTATCTGCTTGGGTCATCCAGATAGGGAAGAGCAGGATCAGAATATCTCTTATTTTATAAAGCTTATTATATGTTACTGTTGATAATGATTTATTGCTTCTTGTTTAAGAAAATTTTCACAAAGTCCGAGTGTTTTCCGGAGAGGCCTTATCCCTCCTCCTGGTCCAGCTGGAGAGGACTACTCACAAAGAAGATTCTTCTGGAACATGAAGCCAAGTGCCAGTCAAGCAGCCCAGAACAAGAAGTGAGCTTCTGCCAGTTACCAGAGACACTTCTACCCAGCCTACCGGGGGTGGACCCGGTGAGACACCCTTGGCTAGACTGTTTAGGGGCCACCTGAGACCAGAGCTGAACAGAAGACAGCTGGATGACTTTTAATAAAATCAGGTCAAATGAATTAAAAAAAATTTAAGCATTTTTTAGCTTTTTTAAATCTTTGATTACCCCTTCATGTGTGTTAGGTTTAAAGATGAATTGCATTGCTTTTTACCTGCTGATGAAGGCACAGCGATAGCAGCAGTCCAGAACACAGCATTCCAGGCTTCAACTTTACTCAAAGAATTTTCAATAGATAAACTATTTTTTAATTGTCTTTTGCTTTCCCTGTATATTTCCTTTGCTCATGCTTGTAAAGTGTGTATAGATGCAGAGATTCATCATGTTTACCATGCTCTGTTACTGACAATCTTAAGGATATCTTTTTTTCCTTGACTGTTCAAATTTTCTACTAAAAATCTAGCCAGGAGACAAGTTTCTTTGTGCCTATTCTCTGTGCTTGAAGGACTCCGATCAGCTTTCTTTCCTTGGTGGTCATTGTTGGAATCTGACCAGCTTCTTACTGAACTGCCAAGTGAGGCATCTAACACAGAGGAGTGTAACATTTTAGGGAATGATTGATTGCCAACTTGGGCAAGAGAAACTAATTGATAAACCAGAGTTCTGGTTAAATTATAATTTACCTGACGAGGCAACTGCCACCAACAGGGTAGAACTATCCAGAAGGCTTGAAAACCTCTAGATTTTAAAGGTTGAACAGACGGGGAATGACCAGACGTTCTTGGCTACCTGGGAAGACTGAGGATGGCGGCGCTGAAACTGAGGACCTGTGTTCAGGAGGATCTCTATCCAGTGGCCTCCCACACTGGAATGGTGCTCTTCCTCTGGAACACACTTCAGGCTACTTGGAGGTGCTAATTCCTTCAGCTATAGAACTCACTCAGGAAATTGCTCATCATGACACACCTCAGTCCACAGCAAGTGATTGTTGAATGACTGGGCGATTTGGCTCTTATCTTGAAAGCCTCTGCTTCTGAGAATTGTCAAAGTGAGAGCTGATGCTCCACGCAGTAGTTATCTTCCTCCACATGTGAACGTGGAGCCTCACCCTAACGGAGTCCCAGTAGCTCACCCAGCCTTGCCTGGGGCTGATTGTCTGCACTCAAACGATGGCTCTTAAAGTGTTTCTCTGCTCACCATATTTAACAGATGCCTGCAGAATTCTCTCCTGGAATCCACTTTTTAGGAAATGAGAACAGACAGTTATGAAGCAAAAGAGGACAAGGCTGGGGCAGGTGCAGACGTGCACCTTGGCCAGGGACTTCTGTGGGGACACTGCCGGGAGACAGCCATTGCGTGAGCTCTGCTGCCTGCCTGTTCCTCTGTCTTTGGATTACCAACACCTTGTTAAGACCTGGTTTATCACGGGGTACCTCATAGCTTTTATTCTTACACACTGGTGTGGCTTCTGTCCATGTCAAACCATCCAAAGGCCTAGTGGAAGGAAGCAGCAGCTTCTTTTTAACACATTTCTAGTGGTCTGTGTAGTATTTTTAAATCGTATTTTTATTTTAGAAGCACACATGAGTACTTTCTCAGGTAGCTTTCCTGAGATTACCATGAAAAGGCATCCTCCGTGTTACCTGGTTGTCAGGTCTCAGAGGAGCCAGCTTAAATACTCTGTCTTACTCTATTTATCTTCCTTCATTGTTTAAGTACTACTCTTACAGATCACCATTTCTATGTTTTCCAGTTTATGATAATATGTGATGATGAATTCTTGGCAAACGAGGATGTAGCTCTCAGCCTATCCACCCCACAGCTGTTTGCTGAAATTCTTGATAGGTGTTAGTCATCATGAGCCATAGTACTCCGTGGTTGTGGGTTCTTTTATGTCTTCGCCTTCATGTTCTTGCCTCATTCATTTGTCCTTTTCCCGTTGCCATGTCACATTCATTCCCCCATAGCTGATAGTATTATAAACTGTCTCGGTGTAAGTGATGTGCCCTTGTGGTTTGACTCCTTTTCTGGAGCTTCTTAAAATGCCCTGGTTAGATACCAGCACCAGTTGTTAGGGCTGCCGTGGTGGAGTGTCATAGATGGGGCAGTGTAATCTGCAGGAATGTTCTGTTTCTCATAGTTGTAGAAGCTGGGAAAGACGGAGGCAGTGAGAATAGGGTCTTGCAGATAGTTGGTACCTCACTGTCTTCTATGTCTTAATACATCTCTTTACCCCCTCAACCCCTCCCTCCCTTTTTTTTCTTTTTAAATGATATGCCAAGATGTATCCTCAGCTCTCCTCAAAGATGCCAGTCATTAGGTTCTTCTTGGAGACTTCATTTTAATGCTTTTGCCTCTTTAAAGATTGTACCAAATGCAGGGCTTAGAACTTTAACAGGAATCTGAGGAAACACAGCTGTCCACAGGAAGCACACTGGCTATTCATTACGCCTGGGACCCAGCTCCTGACTTGAGCCCTCTTCTATCTTACTTGTCATTTCTTAGAACGCCCTTATGTCTCCTGGGTTCCAGGGTGCTACTTTCATGACTGCAGTTTCCCATTTGATCATTATGTCTGTCCTTCATAGCTTCTGGGGCTGGGTGGGATGTCCCAGCTGAATCAGAAATGGATCTGTTTGATTCTTTCTCTGCTCCTGTACTTTGATTAGCTACAGTGTCAGGCACTTTTCAGTGCCTCTCTTCATGCTGTTCTGGGCGTCACTGCTGGCTGTTGAAATCCTCTATCTTCTCATCTCGAACCTGTCTGTAACCTGTAATTTGTCTCTTGAAGTCTTAAGATCTTCATCTCAAATGATAGAGTGTTTTCTATTCACAGTGACAGATAGCAAGTGAGCCCTTTCAGTATAGTGAATTGCAAGAAGTTTTTATTTACTGCTATTGTATTAGGACTAACCCGAACCCTTGGCAACTTCTGGTTGGATGTTGGGTTTCTTTCCTGGAATGTGCCTTTGATTTAATTATATTTTTTTATTTAACCTTTTCACATTAATTTCTAGTATTTTTTTCTGATATGTTGGAGATGCTGGGATTGACAGGGTCTCGAACATGCTAGACATGTACTCTGTTATTGAGGCATGCCTCCAGCCCTCTTCTGGTCTATACATCTATATGTGATTTGTGTAAGCATAATAAAAACATAAAAGAAAATATTTCTCAATATTTAAATATATTACATATATGCGGGGTCTCAGTATGTGTGCAGGGTGGCCTCCAGGGCTCCATCAGCCCTCCTGCCCCAGTCTCCTGTGCAGGTGAGACTTCAGGTATATGCTCCCATGCCTAGCTCTAAATTTTAATTTCTAAGAGTTATCTCTAGTTTTTAATAACTACATTATACATCTTTTTAAAATCTTATTTAATTATTTATTATTTTTACATTATTTTGCCTGCATGTATACCTGCAGGGCAGAAGAAGACACAGGATCTCATAGATGGTTGTGAGCCACCATGTGGTTGCTGGGAATTGAACTCAGGACCTTTGGAAGAACAGCCAGTGCTCTTAACCTCTGAGCCATCTCTCCAGCCCTACATTATACATCTTAACTATTGACACTCATTATGGAGGGAGGCCCCATGTGGGATCCTAACTAAATGTTATTTCCTATAAAACTAACAGCTTTCCAGAACTGTGTCCTGAAAACAAGTTCCCATGTGTTCCTTTCCTCTTGCAAGTGCCAAATGGCATATGGCTTCGGGGTTCCATGATCCTCTTTCTGCCAAGGTTTTCTGTGTCTAGCCTCAAGCTGAATTTGCTAGCCACTTTGTGGCTATAATAGGCCATACACTCTGCCTCATCTTTAAAGTTATCTTTGGCTGTCCCTTGGTCTGAGCCAGTCATTCATGCTCAGCTGTAGGAACCACTACAAAGTCTTCTCCCTCAACCCTACCCCCCAGCGAATGCTCTCTCTGTGTACACTGTACCTTGTGTCATTATTTAATTCAGGTTCTGTGCCACGATGTCAGAGTAGCACAGTATGACAGTATCTTTTGCCAGGGATGGGAGGCTACACCCTGTTTTGCTTTTATCAAAAAAGTCTTTACATTCCCAAGCTAAATCTGTAATCCCAGCACATGGGAGGCAAAGGCAGGCAGATCTCTGAATTCCAGGCCAGCCTGGTCTACAGAGCAAAGTTCCAGTACAGCCAGGGCTACATAGAGAAACCCTGTCTTGAAAAACCAAATGAAAACCAAAAAACCGATTCCCAAGCCAATTAGGACACATGGACTCTGGTCCTGTGTGTTACCGTAGCCCCACACCAGGTCTTTTTTTTTTTTTTTTTTTCTTTTTAAATATGACCCTTCTTTCAAGTAAAGGGGAGTGGTACAGGCCAGGCCATGGGATCAGCAGAAGCACACTCAAAATGATGACCTGCTCCTCTAGGTCCGGGTACTTCTGGAAGTGGAGGGACTTGTTTCGGGGGTGGGAGGGATCTTCTAAAGCTTGTCAGGAGGCTGGTGGTGAGTTCCTGTGACCATCGGGATAGGTTCGAATTGCATTACGAGTAACCAGGGCCTGGATGAGGACGCTCTTGGGTGCTAATTAATGAGTGATGGCGCGTACATGACAGGGATGAATCAGAATTTAAACTTGGAGGTGGAGTCAGAACACTGACACTGGACGTATTACAGTGAGAGGCATCTGCCTTAGACAACCTTCTGTTGCTAATACCACAGTACCTCATGGGTAAGGTGAGGTGTGGGTTTTTTGTTTAGTTGGTTGGTTTTTGGTTGTTTGTTTTTTAATGGCTTGTTTTTGTTAGTAATTTTGGCCTGAGATCCTGGAACCAAATTAGCAAGAAGAGATAGGTAGCAAGATAGGAGACCTAGCTAAAGTAAAAACACTCACTTTGGAGATAAGCAGTTAATTTGATAGTTGTACAATGGGATTAATGCATTCATGAGGTTAAAGTCCAAATTGCCTTCCAAAGGTTCTACTTGAGAGCCCAAAGGAAAAAAGATCAAATCCAGGATTGCCAGTTAAAGCAAGCTGTATTCCTGGGTGCACCCAGGCCTGGCCATCAGGCTGTCTTACCCTAAGTTGGGATTTGAGAGAGCAGCCCCTGCTGGCCTCCTGAAGTCCCTTTTATAGGAGAGATAAACTCTTCACATGGTGAGAGGGTAGGCTGTAATACATTGTCAGAAAGATACTGTGAAATGGAAGGGTTAAGGGTAGGGATATACATTGTGTGGATGGGATTGCAACTTTAGTGTAATTTAAACATGTTTTGCAGTTTACATGAGATCTAAAAAAACAGGAACTTAATTACAAATAGAAACCTTAACTTGCAAGGACGTACACTGGAAAACTGGAACTTATTCTTTAACTACAAATAGAAACTTTAACCTGCACAAGACAAATAGGAACTTAATTCTTTAATTACAAACAGAAGCCTTGACCTGCACAGGACAAACAGGAACTTGACTGCAAACAGAAACCTTAACCAACAAGACATGACTTCTGCTGAGTCACACCCTTAGTCTTCAGTGAGCCTAGACCACTGGTTCTCAACCTGTGGGGTCATGACCCCTCTGGGGTGTCAGAAGATCCTTTCAGAGGGGTTGCCTAAAACTATGAAAAAACACAGATGTTTTTATTATAATTCATAACAATAGCAAAATTACAGTTATCAAGTAGCAACAAAAAAAAAATTTTTTTTTGTGGTCTTCACAATATGAGGAACGTATTAAACCGTCATGTAAGACCTGGGGTCTCACAGCTCAGAAGTTTTAAGATTGCACCCTTCCCAGAAACTCCCCCAGACCAAGACTGGTTGCAAAAGCAAGAGGTTTATTAACCATTGCGCAATGGGGTCACCCCTGCCGGTCAGCAGAGAGTGGCCCTGGGAGACAAAGGCTTTAGGTTTTTAAAAGAAAAATTGCGGGAAATTTGAAGTTGCAGTCTTGGCAATTTAGGATTGGATGAGGAAGCTATAAAGTAAGATAATTGGTTAGTCTTAGGTGCTCAAGCTTGGCCAGTCCTGCCAAGTGTGGATGCAGCTGCAATTAAAGGTGAGGATGGTTAGCTCAGCCTTGAAGATTTGCCTGGAGGTCAGGAGGATTGAGGCCATCTGGGTTCGTTGCTAAGAAACACTATCTTTAAGACAAGGGTCTGGTCCTTCTTTTTGCTGAGTGAAGGTCATTGCTTGCTTGCCTTTTTTATATCTGTCCTCACAGATAGGGTCACATTCCTCCATTCTCTGGAAAGGTACTAAGAGGCTTTGGCTTAACCTGGACCTAAAACTCAAAACTATAGGCTTTAGAAGACATATAGGTTACAAAGTTAGTCTAACCCTTTCAGTCACAGCGCTAGGAAGGATGAGAACTGCTGGATTAGATGCTCTGCTGCAGGCTGGTCCCTACCTGTGAGGCTGTCCTGCTTATCTCTATCAGAATGATGCTGACTTTTTGTCATTTCTGCCCTTGATGCACTTCAAGGTAATGCAGATGTCACTGTCTGGCCTGTGTCATAATGGACAGGCCGTATGAATCTTAGGCACTGCTAGTGCTGATGTCTCCTTAAATAATATGGAACAAGGTACCCCTTCCAAACAATAAACCTACTAGATCCACATTTCTTTGGACAAACAAGACATTTGAGCAATGAGGAAACATAGTTGTCCTTCTGTCTAACTTACTATATGACAGGACACTGTTAATTTTCAGGGTACCTTCTTAGCCAGGGGCTGTTACAGGATGCAGCCTGCACACCTGGGGATCCTTGTTTTGCCAGGGCCATCATCTGCCTCCACTACCACACCTATCCCGTAGCTTCCCAGCCAGATGCACACTCCTGACCTCACGTGCATCTGGAATAGGGTATCCACATTACCTGACTGTGTGCTGGATCCTGTATAACCAGTTCTCTGCTGCTGCTCACTACTCCTTTAAAGATCCTCCCTTCCAAAGGGCTGGGCCTTGGTCCTACCTCTGGGAGGGTACTGGGGGAGCATCCTTGCTTCTCTCCTCTCACAGCTTAGGAGACTAACCTTTTCTGAGGTTTTGGCTCTCTGGGCATCCTTTCTGAAAAGCCTTACTGCTTTGACCCTGACATCTCAGCATCTTCTCCCCTGGTCTTTGCCATGGGTGTGAGGGTGTCCCACTCTCCCCTGGCCTCACAGCTCCCTCAATGAATCTATCGTAGCTTCTCCACCTGTTTCAGAGAGCCTGCTTGACTGGCAACAGTGAGCCTGGGGAAGAGAAGGATAGTACAGCTCTCACTGGTCATCAGGGTTGGTGGCAAAGGCAGAGCATCCCTTCCAGAGGGACCGTCTGTGGAGAAAGCTGTTGCTCTTGCTTGTCTCAGGGAACTAACAACTCGGCTAATGCACTCGAGAAGCATGGCATGCACGTTCTGAGAGTCCCTGAGCTCATATAGCTGTCCCCTGCCCAGAGCACGCCATCTGGAGGGCAGCATAGCCGACTCTGAAAAGGACACTATGGCTGAGTCAAGGCTGATGGTGAGGAGGAGGGGCATGAGGGCAACGTGGGGACTCTTAGGATCCATTTTATCAGGACCAGACACAGCATAGAGAAAAGTCCACTGGTAGACCTGGTTGCTGCGGGAGGACATGTGAGCCCAGAATGCACGTGTCTTGACATCAGGCCACTCTGAGCAGTTATGTGCAGGGCCCAGGCTGACTTCAAAAAGGGCAGAGAGATGCTGCAGCCTGAAGGGGACAGTAAGCAGGGTGGCAGGCTTCCCACGAGGATGGAAACTTGGGAATCCATCTCCTGCTTTTCTCTACAAATTATTAAGCCAGCGTTCAGAAGGTGAATGGGTATGACCGCTGTGCTGTCACTGGTCAGCTCTATGACCCTGGGCTTCATGATTAACAAATATCCAGGAGCCGCGCAATGTGGTACCAATTCAGATCTGCTCACTAGTTGTGAGGCAGTCGCAGACTATCTGTATTGCAAGCCACCAGAGGCTGATGACATTCTGCACACTCCTGGCTGTGTAATACCGGGTAGGATTCACATACAGCATTGTGGGGAGGGTCTCACTGTGGGCCTGGAGTCCTAGAATCTACCTGGGGGTTTGAGGACAGGGTGGGGGTATTGTAGCAATTTTTTTGTTTGTTTGTTTTTGCCAACTCTGTAACCTAACCTTTTATAATCTTTGGGAAGGAGAGTTTATAGAGGCACACACTTAGAAATATAGTCCATAGACAGTGAACAAATGCTTGGTACATAGGGTCCATCTATGGCACTGTGCTGTATTCACGTACCAAGACAAACAGAATGCTTCTAATAGGGTGAAGAGGGTATAGTCGGGTGTTGCTGAACAGACTTTCTACCAGTGTTAGTGTCCTGCTTCCTCTTGTGACAGCAGAAAGACACACCCTTGAGCAGGGCCTACATGGGCCTGGGAAGGTTGAGAGGCAGAGGTCAGGAGACTCACATGGCTCCTCTCTTCTGCAGGACTCAGGGAAGGTGTGCGGGCAGGTATAGCTGTCTCTCCTGGATGCCAAGATTTGGGACCCTGAAGTCTCCATGGCTCCCTACCACATCCGCCAGTACCAGGACAGCGACCATAAAAGTGTTGTGGACTTGTTCTCTGGGGGCATGGAGGAGCACATCCCTGCCACCTTCTGCCACCTGCTGCTGCTGCCCCGAACCCTCCTGCTCTTACTTGGGGTGCCCCTGGCCCTGGTCCTGGTGTCTGGCTCCTGCCTGCTGGCCGTTGTAGGCATTATCCTTTTGCTCCTACTCCTGCGGCTCCTTGCCAGACAGCCCTGGAAGGAGTATGTGGCCAAGTGTTTGCACACAGACATGGCTGACATCACCAAGTCCTACCTGAGGGCACATGGCTCCTGCTTCTGGGTGGCTGAGTCTGCGGGGCAGGTGATGGGCACAGTGGCTGCTCCGCCAGTCAAGGATCCTCCATTAGGGAGGAAGCAGCTGGAGCTCTTTCGCCTGTCTGTGTCCTCACAGCTTCGAGGACAGGGGATAGCGAAAGCGCTGGTCAGAACTGTCCTCCAGTTTGCACGGGACCAGGGCTACAGCGATGTTGTTCTTGAGACCAGCACTATGCAGCAAGGTGCTGTGACCCTCTACCTGGGCATGGGTTTCCAGAAGACAGGCCAATACTTCATGGGTGTCTTCTGGAAGATAGTAGATATTTGTATAATTCAACTGAAGTACTCCTTCCCTTCCGCCTAGGAAGCGGGGCTGTGCTCTATGTTCCTATGCACTCTGCTACAGGACCCAGTGAACCCTGTCAAGTCAGTGTGATGAACAATAAAAGTTCCTTGCTGGTGTATACCAGATTCCAATACATATGATGGCTGAGTGAGGGCTTGGGGGGGTTCTGCTACACTCTAGATTTCTGGGGAGCCTGTTTTACTTACTGAGCCCAATATCACTGTTGTATTCGAAACAATGCAAACTAGTACTGCATGTATTTGTATAAACCAGAAAATTTCTGCAGGGCAAGAGGGGGTGGCTCACCTAGCTCATGTGTGTGAGCATCTAAGTTGACTAAAGTGGCAGATGTCTGTGTGCCATGCTGTTCCAGAAGGCCAGCTGAGCAAGGCTCAAGAACTTTGCAGGGCAGCCAAAGTTAAGGCAAAGGAAAAAGAAACAAGAGTTTCCCAAGCAGGTGTCACCTGCAGAACATGTGAGACCTGGAGACTAATGTAGATTGTGTTTACAAAATATGTAGAATCACAGATCAGAAGCTGGTGTGGAACTGAGAAAAGGACCAGAGTTTGCTGTATCGTCGTCGTTTTTCTGTCATGGCAGAGGAGTAGGACGTCGGCTAAGATTGAGCGAGGACTGATCTATGAGGAAGACACCTCACGGCAGAGCTGCTGCTGTGGGCAGCTTCACAGGCCAGCACCACTTTAAATAGGTCAAATATATAGCTCTGCATTTCTAGAAAGATATGGGGGTGGAGGCACCCTACAGCTGCCACTGGAATTCAGGCGGGACCCAGTCTGAGTTCAAAGGTCAGGAACTTCAGAAACTCAGATGCTTTGTGCCTGGTTGTACCAACTTTCAAGCCTCTGACACAAGGCTGTGATGAGATGTGGTTCTGTGCATATATATGCAAGGCTGTCCCTTTCTCAGCTAGTGCATCCGGGATACTGGGGTGTTATTAGAGAGGTGGGATACCTCCCTATGTCTCCCACCCTGCCTACAGACTGCTGAACCCAGAGATCTGGGTACCCCTGAGCCAGTAATTTATGATACTTAGGCATTATTATGGGTCCTGTTTCATCCTGGCATCACCTCTGATACAACTTAATTCCAGAGGAATCAGCTAAGCTAAACCTTGCCCTGGCCTGCTGACAAACCTTGTCATCATAGACCAATTTCAACTACACAAAGACCCCCTTGCTATGCAACTCCAAACACAGGTGACCTGATTACTGGGACTATATGTCTCACCCTCTCTTGCCATGTGGCTATCCTTGACCCTGACCTTGATGGTCACCACAGTATGTTTGCTGTCCATCGTCACCTAGGCCACCCTGCTTGGGCTTCTGTGAGACCTTCTCTATCACCCAAAGCTCACTAGTACCTGCCCTAGGTGTCTGCATCCCCTGAGCTAACATTCCAGCTGTAAACTCAGTATGGTTCCTTATGAAAGCCCATGAGAGAGACGGTGATGCTGGGGGCATGCACTCCCTCTCCATAATTATTAGAAGAGGAGTAAGACTTCTTTCTTTTTGGATAATCTTGGGCAAGTGTGCAAGTGTCACTTATTCTTTGCTCTGCACCATTTCTGTCCCCCAATGTAGCAGGCTTGTCTGAGTACTCGGAGGTGTGACTCAGAAAGGGATTCTAGGTATGGGGTACCTAGACAACAACCCCAGAACTACACGATGACGGGAGTTTGCAAACCAGGAGTTCTAGAGGGGACTGAGAGTTAGAACTGACTGTGCATGTGGGAAGACCGTGGAATCGCCATTTTTGGAGTTGTCTGAATGACACGAGGTGAGCAATGTCTGTCACTTCCATGTAGATGCTTTTAAGCTACTATGCCTTCCCAGAGCTTCTGTTCAACTGTGCAGTGACCTAAAAGCCCAGGCTGAGAAGCCCCTATCAGGGAGGGCTCCTAAATACTGCTATGGGTTTTCCCTTGAAGATAACAATTTCTTTCCTTCTGCTGTACTGAGCCAACGGGTGTTAGGGACTGTCACTGTAGCCTAACCAACCCCAAGCCCACAGACAATGCCTCAACTCTAGAGCCGCCCACTACTTGTTCAAGTCAAGGTTTACTGGGCAGAGGCCACTCACTATGTACACGTCCTCTGGCTGCCGTCAGACTGCAAAGGTGGAGCTGAGTAACTGCAACAGGAAATGGGTAGCCTTTGAGAAGCAAAGCACTTATCTGCTTCTTCTGGGCTTTACTAACCCTTGATCAAGGCTATCTTGACTTTACATAATCAAAATATAAGATAAAGTGAGAAAAAAAGAAACCGTCAAATACGGTTTTTTACTAGTTAAATGACGCTGGGCTAGTTAGCTGATACTGCTATACTCTTTCAGTTGCCTTGTGTGTAAACTGGGCACAAAGACATATCTGCCTAATAAAACTGCTGTGAGAATTAAATGAATTACTATTTATTTATTGAAATAGGATTTGACATAGTACGTTAGAATGATCTGGAACTTGTGGAATATCCTGAGCTGACCTCGAACTTGTGACTTTCTCCTGCCTCAGTCTCCTGAGTACTAGTCTATAGGAGTGAGACAGCACACCCAGCTTAGAGTTAACGAAATTGTTGGGCATAAAATACTCAAGATCCAGAAGCTTAGAAAGGCAATGTGGAAAAGCCAGAAGTACCAGGTTAGTTGCAGATTGATAGGTGAGTTACTAAGGGAGAGCCTTGAACAGTGTAGTCTTCAGTAGGTGCTTGCACTTTTTATTCCAATTGTATAAAAATAAAATGTATTGAATATAAGGAGAAGACTATAAGTCAATGACAAAACAGTGACAGAGGTTATCTTTAAGCAGTAAAAAAATAAGTAGGGCTGGTAGTGGTTTCTCTTTCCATTTTTCTGTGATGACTATGTTAATTTTATAACCAGGAAAGAAAAGCTAGTGATTGAGATTTTCTGTTGATATTTTAAACATCTTATAATACATCCTTTGTTGACATTCTACAAATGATTCCATCCAATAATGTCCCAATACTCTCTTCTTGTGGTGACAGTTTATATATCTGTAAAAGTGAATGACAATCTATGAGTGCTCGCATGTCCATTACATAAGCATGTATAAGTAGATCATCATTTTATTCTGGCATTAATGATTGGAAATCATAAATATGTTTATAGTATTCAAAGTTGGTGGCAATTTTGAAGTGTAGTAGTTAATATAAAAAACCAAATTTTCTGATATATAAACCACATTTGTATCAATTTTAAGAGTTCACATCTAGCTATTAACTTCATATAATCACTTAGTATTGAAAAAGATCCCTTTTCTTACAGTTCTCATTCCACACAAACTTGAACATCCCAGTTCTTTTCATTTACAAATACTTTCCAATTATCTAAAATTACGTTAGTATTTCTAAGACTTTTTAAAAATTTTTACTTATATGGGTGTTTGCCTCTTTGTATGTGTATTATGTGTGTGCATGCCCACAAAGGCTAGAAGAGAACATCCGATCCACTACAACTGGAGTTAGAAATGGTTACGAAGCATGGCAGGAATCAGACCTAGGTACTCTGGAGGAACAGCAAGTGCTCTTAACTGCTGAGCCACCTCTCCAGCCCCACACTATTTCTTAACAGCTCAGAAGGTCTTGGGAGTAAACAAGGAGGCAGAAATGAGTAAGAGTAGTAACAGGATTTGTGTAAATGTAGTGAATACCATTATCTTGTATGCTACGATGATAATGTTTCAAAATTCATAAAACAATGAGCAAACAGCATCAGCAGAACTCATCTAATAAATTCTTAAAAATGTGTACTACAAACCTTTTTGACTTCTGAGAGCTTTGTTATATCTGGCAGACTTTCCAAAGGCACCTGCTGGCCTTCCACTTGAGATATTAGGTGTTCCTGATGTATTTGTTGTCTTCCCTCTTCAACGTAAACAATCAGGACTGATGTGTTACTTTCTGAGATACCAAATTTCTTCAAAGCCTCTGAAATCTAAGATAAAAAGCAAACAAACAAACAAACAAACAAACAAAAACCCAAAAGACAATGAGCCAGTGTCTCCTGTCTGGAATACCTCCTGGCCTGCTCAGCTAGCCTCCCAGTTTCTCATCGTGTACTTTCCCCTTCAACAATCCCTGTCCAGCACCTGCTATTGCTGTCCCTGCTTAGACTTGCACTTTGCTCTTCTGGATCAAGCCCAGACTTCTTGGCTCTGCACACAATCACCTGTCTCCAAGTGATCTTTCCAGGCTGAAATTTGTATTCCTCTTGTCATTTATTATTTATCAGAGCTCAGACATCTTTTTCAGTTTTAACAAAGAATGCCTCAAGAACTTTCATTTAAAAATCACTCTTGGATCAAGGCACTGTGGTGCACACCTGTAATACCAGCACTCAGGGAGGCAGAGGCAGGTGGATCACTGTGAGTTCGTGACTAGCCTGCTCTACAAAGCGAGTCCAGGACAGCCAATGCTACAGAGAAAAACCCTGTCCTGAAAAACAAAAACAAAAACCTAAACAAACAAAAACCAAATAAAAAGCACTCTTGGGCTGAGGAGATGGCTCTGTGGGTAAAGTACTTGGCCACACAAGTGTGAAAACCGTGGTTCAGTACCCTAGCACCCCTGTAAAGCCAGGCACAGCAACACTGTCTGTAGTCCCAGTACTGCTACAGCCAGACAGGAGGTGAAAACAGAAGAACCCAGGAAGCTTGCAGGCCAGATAGCCTTGTGTACTCGGTGGCAAACAATAGAGAGACCTTGTCTGGAACAAGATGAGGTCCTCCTCTAGACCTCCACGAGTACATCATGGCACTCAGGCACCCATGCAAATGCAAATATGCAAATGCACATCCCATACCCACATATACTGCGTGCACATATACGCGCGCACGCGCACACGTGCGCACACACACACACACAGAGGGGACAGGAAGCATATTACACTGGGGGAGGCTGGCCATATGCTATGATGACAAGACCGACAGGAATAAAGTCAGTCACCAATTACATTATTATTTGGGGAGAGATTGAAGATAATTTCAGTAGACAGAGTTCTTGTCTTCATTTTTCCCAGTTTGTAGAGATGAACAGCTTTGTTCGCGGCCACAAGTATCTGAAATGGATCAACAATCTACCAGAGAGAATACAAAAATTAGCACAGAGAGAATCAGGAGTGTCCCTAACCTTATGCCCTGCCTGAGGTAACTCTAGTCCAGCTGTTTATTTGATCATGATTCTTATGGACTGTATTTAAAAACTGACCTCAAGGGCTGTTGCAACATAAAAAAATTATAGAACTTTAAAGCTACATGCTTCTTGGTGGTAAACAGAGAACAGACCACATGCTAAGTTCAACAGCATTGTTTTCTTTAATCCCCACATACTCAATGAAAACAGTGTTTCTCACAGAATAGATGAAGTACCCCTGTTGCTTACCACGCTGGGAACCAGGCAGTCTTACCTATCAGGAGACTGCACATGCCTCCCTTGCACGACTATTGAAGATTGTGTTAGGATATGCACCACACACAGAACAGGACACTCTGTAAAGCTGGCTGTGGCTTCCTCAGTTGCAGTAAGTGGGAAACTGGTGTGCTCTCAATCCTCTTGCCATTTGTGTTGGTTTGAATGAGAATGGAGTCCATAGGCTCATATACTTGAATGTTTGGTTCTCAGTTAGTGGACTGTTTAGAAAGGACTGGAGGTGTGCTGGCTAGATTTATGTCAACTTGACACAAGCTAGAGTCACTAGAGGGCAGAAAGCCTCAATTGAGAAAGATCAACAAGGCAGGCCTGTAGGGCATTTCCTTAGTGATTGATGTGGGAGGGCCCAGCCCATTGTGGGTGGGACAATCCCTAGGAAGGTGGTCCTGGGTTCTATAAGAAAGCAGTTTGAGCAAGCCATGGGAGGCCAGTGGGTAAGCAGCACTCCTCCATGGCCTCTGTATCAGCTCCTGCCTCCAAATTCCTACCCTGTTTGAGTTCCAGTGATTTGGAAATGTAAGCCAAATAAACCCTTTCCTCTCCAAGTTGCTTTTGTCATGGTATTTCACAGCAGTTGTGACCTTAATTAATGATGGAAGTTAGTACCAGGATAGTGGAGTACTGCTATGGATAGGCCTGACCATGTTGTTTTGGGGGAGGACTATGGAATGAGTTTTGGACTAGAAGTCTCTGAGTGTTGAAAAGTTCAGTGAGCTGTTCTGTAGGAGCTTGTGAGATAAGAATGTTGAAAGCAGAGCAGATGGAGGCCTGACTTGTGAGTTTTCAGAGGGAAGGGAGGACTCTACAGGGCCTTTTATGTGAAGAATCTGATTAGCTGGGACTGAAGAGTCAGCTGTGATTAACAACAGACCAGCCCCACTGACAAGGAATCTTTGAGTTACTGGGACAACTGATGTTGGTTAACTGGAACTGAGAAATTAGCAGTGATTAAGAAGACACCTCTATCATCAAGGTGAACACTTCTGGGAAGTGTTTCATGAGAGCACACAGAGGTAGTAAAGGCTTTACTTATGCTGGCAGTTGAACTTGGTAGTGTAAGAGCCACTCAGGTGGCACTGGTTTTGAAGGCATGAAGGGGTCATGGAGAGCAGCTGAGGCTTGGCACTAGGTGTGGCCCAGCTGCAGATCCCAGCATTTTGGAGCTGCCAGGACCATGGTATGACCCCCAAGAACAGCAGCAGTAGAATGGAGCCTGCCTGAATTCAGAAGACAAGCTGTGTGTAATACAGAAGGCAGAGCCCTGTGAAGGAGCCCAGAAGATCATGAGTGGATCCCAGACATTGGACATTGTGTTTTTTACACAACTGCAAATTGATTTTGCTTTGACTGTGGCTGTGCCGTAGTTCTTCTCTCTTGAAATACTTTTATTTTATTTTATTTTATTTTTTTATTTTATTTTATTTTATTTGAGCCCAGAGTTGAGAGAGCTTCCCTTTTTCCATGACCTTTATATAGGCTTCTAAGCAGAAAGTGTGGCCCAGATTAGAGGTGGATTTTCCATCTCAAAAGATCTGGATTAAAGGTGTGTTGTCCCATCTCACAGATCTGGATTAGAAGTGGATCTTCCCACTTCAAATGATTCAATTGCGCAAAGATTCCCTCACAGGCATATTTGGGTTTTAGTTCATTCCAGATGTAGTCAAGTTGAGAACCAAGAATAGCCATTGCAGGAGACGTGGCCTTGTGGCAGGAGGTATATCACTGGCTTTGAGGTCTCACTAGGTTTGAGGTGTCACTGGGATGGGCTTTTGAAACCTCAAAGCCCACAGTAGGTCTAGTTGTATTCTCTCTCTCCATCTTGCGGACCAGATGTAAGTTCCTAGCTACTTCTTCAGTGCCAGGCCTGCCTGCCTGCTGCCGCATTCCCCACCATGATGGTCATGGCCGAATCTTCTGAAACGGTAAGCCCCCAATTAGGTGCTTTCCTTTATAAGCTGCCTTGGTTATGGTGTCTCTTTATAAGAACAGTGCAGACTCGCACTTCACATAGGAGAAGCACAAAACTCAGAACACACATGTGGTGACACCCAGGCATAGCCCTTCTATTTCCTAAGACAGCATACAGCACTTTAGACTCTACTTGCTGTTTTAAATTTAAAATTCCAAGTGTGACATGGGCACTTTCTATGTGAATATAAAATAATTTAGGGTAAAGTTAACATATTCTTAAATGCCTGCCATGATTAATTCATTCTCAATGAATATTTTATACTTACCACATTAGGGTTTATCAATGAACCACTGATAGATCCTTCCATGGCCTTTTTTCTCAAGTCTCCTGCATTTTTTACATCTTTAAATAACAGAAGGGTCACCGTGCATTCGGGAAACAAGTCCAACTGCTGTGATAACTGCATTTCATAGACAAGGAGGACTCTACTAGACAAATAAATAAATAAATAAATAAGGTTATGGAAAGGATTGTATTCATCTTTCCCACCCAGTTTCTCCTGTCTTTCTCATCTGATAGTCTTGCTGTCCTATAACTTGCTTTGTACCACCATCCTCCTGCCCCTGCCCCTCAAGCCCTAGAACTGCATGTGAAAACACACTCAGCTAAATCCCTTGCGTTCTACTTTCCTGTTTCTGTTCTGACTTCATCTCTACTGCTGTGATGAAACATTCTGACCAGAAGCAACTTAGGAGAAAAAACTTATTTAGCCTACAATTACAGGAACTCAAACCACAGAGAAACATTGCTTGCTACTCAGTCACTGGCTTCTGCTTAATTAAGGAGCTTTTAAAACACGATCCCAGATCACTTGCCCAGGGAATGGTGCTGCCCACAGTGGGCTAGGCCCTTCTACCTCACCATAATTAAGAGTCAAGACAGTCTATCACACACAAGTCAGTGGGCCAATAATATCTACATAATCCCTCACCTGAGACTTCCTTCTCAGGTGACTCTGAAGGCTATGTCACGCTCACAGTTAATTAAGTTCATAAACTGCAGAATTACTAAAGTAGAGAAGTTCACTTCCAAAGCATGTCTGCCATCTTCATAAGGTGTGTTTCTAACTGTGCTGAGCTAGTTCTAGGCCTCCCGTTCCTGGGGAATGGCCAAAGGAAATGGCTAGTGCCCTGCTTGGCAAGATGGGCAACTGCTGCCTTGGCAGACAACCAGATGCAGGATACCAGGAAATGATGGATCCCAGATTACCCAGAGCATTAATAAGACCTTAATTTACCACATCCTTCCTAAATTCTTGATCTGTGTGCTGGCTCACACCTACAATCTCATCTGAGCAGGAAGACAGAAAAGAAGTATCGGGTTGTGTTCGTCACAAGGGCTCACCTACTGTGAATGATGGCCTGGGTATGACAGATATGCTATATATTACAAAAAACACAAATCTTAAGAACAATTTCAATCATCGCTTTTCTTTTTAATGATGGAGAGTGAAGTTAGAGCCTTACAAAGGCTAAGCATACACTCTACTACTGAGCTACATCTCCAGTGCCAATCTATGTCTTACTGATTCTTTGGTGGGCTAATCTGCTAGGCTCTTTTCATCTTTTCTATCTATAACATCCATTTCTAGTTTTCTTTCTCAAGGGAACTAATTGGAAGGTGATAAAATATACTTTTTATCACCTTGAAAAGTTGAGAACAACCTATCCAGCTAATGGCAAGGTTTGCTGAAACTAAACAGTCATTAAAAGCTGTCATGTTCAGTGGGATTTTCTCTGACTCTTTCGCTTTCTATTGGGACTCTTTTCCTCCTACTGGGTCCTACTGGCTGCCTTGCCCAGTGTTGATGTGAGGGTTTGTGCCTAGCCATACTGTACCTTGTGGTACTATGTTTGGTTGATGTTCCTGAAAAGCCTTCTCTTTTCTGAAAGGAGATGGGAAAGAGTGGATCTAGGGGAAAGGTGGGGGGTGGGGGGGGTGAGGGGAGAAGTGGAAGCTGCAGTCAGGATACACTGTATGAGAGAATAATAAATTAAAAAATTTTAAAGCTGTCATTCTGACTGGGAAAATGTCTCAGTGATCAAGCATTTACTAATCACGTATCAGGCCGTGTTCAGTTTTTAGCACAACAAGCCTCAGCCCCTAAACAAAACAAAATCTTTGCTGCAGTGTCGATTTGTCAGAGCAATAGTAACATAAAGTACAACCACAGGGATGAAAAACAAACAAAATGTGGCTAGATGTGTGTCATTTTTATCTTTATTAGTCCCATTTCCCTGGCCAGGCTAGCCTGGAATTCCCAATTGTACTGCTTCCCCAGCACAAGCAGTGACGGGTCTCAAGCTTGTTCCGCCGTGCTTAGCCTATGTTCCGCCTAACAGCAGAGTGTTTGGAAAAGCTCCCCCTGGGGCTGGAGAGATGGCTGAGCAGTTATGAGCACACGCTGTTCTTGCAGAACACCTGGGTTTGGTTCCCAGCACTGTTAGCAGGCGCCTCACAAGCACTTGTAACCCCAACTCCCAGGGACCTCCTGGCCTCAGTGGGCAGCTGAGACAGGTGCATATACATCTGCAGACGCATATACACACACAACTTGAACATGAAAGTCTTAAAATAATTTAAAGGCTGCTCATAAAGAAAAGATACTGAAAAGAGGCGCCGAGAAGGCAGTTTAGTTGCTAGAGAGCTAGGGTAACATGCATTAAACCTTGGGTTCCATCCCGAGCACTGTATAAAACCAGGTGTGACAGTGCTCACCTACAATCCTGTCCAGAGGAGGTCAGGAGAGGAGGATCAGAAGTTCAAGGTTGGAGGAGATGGGGAGCCTGAGTCTTTACAGTCTGGAAAATGCCTCAAAGCAAAACATGTCTTTAACCTTCTCTTGGATATGTGTAGGTAATCCAAGCCCAAACTAACTTCTCCACCAACCCTGCCAGCCCAGCAATTTCAACAGAGGCTTCTGCTCCCATCATTCAAAATTGGAAATCTTTACCTTAAACCATATCCAAAGTGCTTCCAGATACATGGAACAGAGTTTATATAAAAAAGAAGTATGTGCAATCCCAGCCTTGGTCCTTGGAGTAATAGCTCAGAGACAGCTGGTAGCAAGATCTTCCTGTGAACTATGCAGTGACACCTCTATCAGGTAATGATACTGGAATTCACAGAGCAGAAATTAAATGAGGGATCTCTGAAGTCATTTTCTGCAAGGATTAGGACAAAAAAAATGGGCTTATGCTGAAATCAAAAGATGACAGTCTACTGTTCAGCTAGTCCAGGCACACTCTGGCTGGTGTGAGATTTGGAGAAGTGACCCAGATAAATGGTGAAAACTCTTCAGGCTGGAGCTCCGAAAAGGCACACAAGGTGCTCAAGCCAGGCTTTAGAGAGAAGATTAATAAAATGACTATTTGAGACAGATTCTTCTAACAGATAATCCTTATACCTAAGTATAGTAGTGGATATGTTGGTTTCATCTCTAAAAGTGTAAAAAAAAAAAAATTCAACCGTGACTGTTGACAGAAACAATCTTCATCACTCAACATAACCTCTGTGAAATCAATGCACAGAACATCATTGGACTGAAGGACTGGCAGACATACCTGGAACTGTGGTTACCATTACACTCCTGCCTACTTTTATATTTGTGCAAATTACTAAACATTACAAAGACCTACTTTTGAGGCTCAGCTGCCATGCACATGTAAACACAGCTGGACTCTGCACATGAAGCATCTCTAGAGCCAGGGAGCATGGCTGAAGGAAGGCCTATTCATCTCACACTATGGCTGGAATCTTGCCATGGTGTGATTGGCTATCATCTTCAGATTCCAAGATGTAGCCTGATCCTGGTTTTATAGATATAAAACTATCTAAAGATTTACTGACTTTTCTAGAATAGTGTCTCTCCTGGAAACCTGATTCTTTTATAAAACAGCCTGATTAGGATGAGCGACAGGCTGCTTTTACCCCAAGTAAACTATATGTTCTTCGTATTAATTTAACATCAATTTTTAATACATTACCATAGTCTAGCTAGGGTAGACTGCCTTGATAGTTGTTTTAGTTTTCTTGATTGCTGTGTAAAATGCCAACTAATGAAGAGTTCATTCTGCATAAACATTATTTCAAGAATTACCACAATTATCATTAAAATTCAACTATCTTCACTTAATGTGCGTCAACTGTTGTCTTAACCATGGTGAGCATCAGCCGAGCATCAGCCGAGCATAGTGGCACATGCCTTCAATTCCAGCACTAGGGGACAGAGGCAGGTAGGTTTGAAGCCAGCGTGGTCTATACAGTGAGTTCCAGAATACCAGAGCTACACAGTGAGACCCTGTCTCGAAAACAAAAACAAAAAACTACAGTGAGCACATAAAATAAAACTCAAAACATAATTACTGCTGCCATTTTAAACCCTGAAATGTTGGCTGGAGAGATGACTCTCAACCAAAACAACATCACCTGAAGTGTCAGTTCTGTATTACACTGGAAGGTACCCTTGCTTGAATCAGCTTAATGGCACTGGGGACAGCACAGCTGGTTATCTGTACTTGAGATTTCCCAGTACCTGCACAATGGAAACCACTTCTCAATGTCGCCCTATCACTTTCTGAGAAACAAACTGTCGCACATTTAATGTAAAACTTCTTATACTAAAGAGAATTTTGGACTCTTTTTATTACACATGTAGATTAAGTGGGTAATACTTGTCTTTGGTACCTAAATCCTAATTCTATGCTCCTGAGCTATGTTCAAGCCAGTCTTGGAATGTTTCCTCAGCATCCTAGTTTGTTCCAGTTTCTTACTCTTCCTTCTTGCAAACAAAATTGCATCGACTCTTTCTCCTGAATTTCTTCTGTTTATGCCTATTTTATCCTAGTAAATATGTATAAAGTTACATTTTCATCTGAAAAAGAGATCAAAGTCATCCTCAGTTACACAGCTCCAGTTCCAGTCTAGCTTGGGTTACATGACATCCTGCCTCAGAAAACAAAACAAAACATGAACCACAGGGCTAGAGAGTTGGCTCTGCCATTAAGAACATTTGCTATAACTGCAGACAACCAGGATTTGATTCCGATCGTTCACAGGTGGTTCACAACCATCTGTAACTCCAGTACCAGGGGGCTGGCCTCCATTGGTACCAGGAACACAAGTGGCACATACATAGATACAGGCAAAACATCAATACACATAATATTAAAATTAAAAAAAAAACATAAAACTTAAATGTAACAGGAAGCTACCTCTTTATTTTCTAGAATTATCTGAAGGTTTCTGTTACAGAACAAGAAGAATTTTGTAAATAATGTCCTGACACAGTCTTTTTTCATCTAACATCTAATCTAGCATTTCAGTTAGCATCATATTGAGAAAGGCTATGGTAGGATATGATTAGTATGCTGTTATGTAAAAAAAAAAAATGCATAGAAAAAAGTAGGAAATGTAACAAAATACAAAAATCTTGAGTACTGAGGTCATTAGGTGACTTTTATTGTAATTGTAAAATAGTCTGTTGTGCATGTTCTGAACTCTCTACAGTCACCAAACAAAACTTAAGTACTTACAATCAGGGAGTAAAATGATGTTCCCTGTTTTTGTTTTTAAGCGTCTTTTCAAAAATAGTTTGAGTGTCTGCCTCAATGTATGTCTGAGTACTACATTCTTGTCTGGACCTGTGACAGCCAGAAGAGGGTGCTGGATTCCATGGAACTGGAGTTATAGGCCTTTGTGAAATGCAATGTGGGTGCTGAGAATCAAAACCCTGACCTAATCTTTAACAGTAAGGGAAAAGAACTTTTAGAAAGCCTCAGAACTATCTGTTCTTGTTTAGTGTAAGAGTCTTGTTTAGACCAAAAACTTTGGGATCATCACTTAATATTGATCTGGTTTGACACCTGTAAAAATCATTGGGAAATTCAGTTCCCAATGTGAGATATTAAAAGGTGGGGCCAAGCAGGGCCTTCACAAGGTGCTCAGGGCATTGTACTAAAAATCATTAATCTACTCATGTGACTATAAAGTTAATAGTTTGTCTCGGGGGCAATCTGGACCTTGAACGCAAAAATTCGTTAATCCAGTCATATGATTATCAAAATAACGGCTTATATCTCCAGAGTGGTTCTGTGACGAATGCAAGTTTGCCTAGCCTCCTGACCTGTTGCCTGGCTCAAAGCAGAGGCAGGCAGATATCTAAATTTGAGGCCAGCCTGGTCTACAGAAAGTGAGTTCTGTGAGTTCTACACAGAAAAACCCTGTAGCAGAAAACAAAACAACAAAAACACCTCACCCATGAGGTACTGTGGTATTAGCAACAGAAGGTGGTCTAAGGCAGATGCCTCCCACTGTAATACCACTTCCAGTGTCCATGTTCTGACTCTACCTCAGGTGTAAATTCTGACTCATCCCTGTCATGTACACGCCATCCATCACTCCTCATCAGCTAGCACCCAAGAGCGTCCTCATCCAGGCCCTGGCTACCAGTAATGCAATTCGAACCTATCTCGATGGTCACAGGGCCCTTCAGGAGGAAGTCAGGGCTGAAACTAAAGCCCTAACTTTATGTCACAAGGTCCCGCGTGTAACATCTGGATCCTGCCTGATTCCTCGACTGGCCAGGCGTCCCTGGCCTCGGGGCTTCCCGTTGCCATCCCTCCAGGGGAAGCAGGGCCAGGGGCAAACTCTCTGACGCGCCTCCCTCCAGCGCTGGGCCTCGCTGGGCCCTGCGGGCTGCACGCAGCTCCTCCGGCCCCAGCGTCCCGCACCGCCTGCTGGGGGCGCCCACACGAGCGCAGCCGCGCGGCCTTAGGGCAGGAGCCGTGCTCCCAGGGCTACGTCGCTCTCCACCTGCGGCCTGGGAGGGCTGACGACCCACCCTGGCGAAAAGAGACGCACTCATCGCCCACAAAACTGTCAGAGCACGGAAAGAGCTGGGGTTAGGGCCGGGCGGAACTTACCATCAGTCTCCCGTCCGTCTCAGAAGACCTTCCCCCAGGAAACAAAGATCTCCTCTTCCGGAAGTGCTCAATCTTCGCTCAGCTAGACAGGTTCCGAGGCACTCTATTTCCGGATCCTGGTGGGCGTAGTCCAGTCTTGGTCTGTCTGAACTTTTGCGGACTCCTACCACCGCTTGCCTCTGCGGGCCTAAAAGCTGAGGTATGGTGTGGAGTGTCGGCTTTGTTCCTAGCCTGTGTTGAACGCCCTCGGGCCCCCTTCTGTGAAAAAAAAAAAAAAATCACCAAGACGAGAGTCACAGTTTTTCAGAGCATTTTTTTTTTTTTTTTTTTTTTTTTACTGATTGTGTCTCGGGAGGAGGCGGGGATGCAACGTGGTGGGGGTCTTACATTGAAGGAGCTGTTCCGTTGGTTCGAGGTCTAGAGACAAGTGGACTCTTACAGCTGTGACAGAGAAAACGAGGCAAATCCTTGGAGCAGACAGGAGGGGGGGAAGCGGAATGCTGGGGTCAAGTCCACAGAAGCCACCAGCCTCAGGCAGGTGTGCAAGACCAGGGCACTGCTCTTTGAGAAGGATGACCGCCAAGGTGGTGAAACCAGATATTGTTAGCTCTGGCTACCTGTCAGAGAACCCAATGAATAGAGGAAGGGATTGAATCTTAAAATTGCGGTATATCCAGAGAGAGCCAGCAGTATGAGAAAGCAGATTAATTATCCTGAAGACATGTATGCCACACCATCTTTACCCAGAAGATTATATAGGTAGAAGGAGACAGGGCTGGAAGCAAAGACAGCAGTTATCCTGGAGCTCCGCTTTGCCTCCCTGGTCAAGTGGATAGCTACATTTCTGAGTTACGATGTCTGCGTTTCTTTTGTTACTTTTTGCACTCATTCCTCATTTGCGGATGTTTGGACTCAGGCACTTGTTGAAATTCAAAGGGAGTCTAATTAGCTTCTACTTAACCTTATACTCCTTCAGCGGTATCTGGGTTGGGCTGGGAGATTAACTCAAAACTTATCATGGCGTGTGCCCATGATAAGCTAATATGTACATTCTGGTTCCTTTCTACAGTATGGAATACAAGTGTGTCTTCATAACACAGAATATGGACATGCCTCCATCTGTCCGCAATCATTCTTTACTGTCAATAGTAACTGAAATCTGTGTCATATGAAAAATGACATCCTGATACCACACATCTGGTTGATTGTCAGAATGACTTCTTACTTGTACTAGAATTCTCTGGCACATAAAGATGTTCACCAAAACATACCATATGTAGCAGGAGCAGCTATGACTTGAAGTCAGAATTTCTAAAACACACCTTCCGCCACCTGCTGCTGCTGCCCCGAACCCTCCTGCTCTCACTTGGGGTGCCCCTGGCCCTGGTCCTGGTGTCTGGCTCCTGCCTGCTGGCCGTTGTAGGCATTATCCTTTTGCTCCTACTCCTGCGGCTCCTTGCCAGACAGCCCTGGAAGGAGTATGTGGCCAAGTGTTTGCACACAGACATGGCTGACATCACCAAGTCCTACCTGAGGGCACATGGCTCCTGCTTCTGGGTGGCTGAGTCTGCGGGGCAGGTGGTGGGCACAGTGGCTGCTCTGCCAGTCAAGGATCCTCCATTAGGGAGGAAGCAGCTGGAGCTCTTTCGCCTGTCTGTGTCCTCACAGCTTCGAGGACAGGGGATAGCGAAAGCGCTGGTCAGAACTGTCCTCCAGTTTGCACGGGACCAGGGCTACAGTGATGTTGTTCTTGAGACCAGCACTATGCAGCAAGGTGTTGTGACCCTCTACCTGGGCATGGGTTTCCAGAGGACAGGCCAATACTTCATGGGTGTCTTCTGGAAGATAGTAGATATTTGTATAATTCAACTGAAGTACTCCTTCCCTTCTGCCTAGGAAGCGGGGCTGTGCTCTATGTTCCTACAGGACGCAGTGAACCCTGTCAAGTCAGTGTGATGAACAATAAAAGTTCCTTGCTGGTGTACACCAGATTCCAATACACGTGATGGCTAAGTGAGGGCTTGATGATTCCGTTACACTCTAGGTTTCTGGCATGCCTGTTTTTCATATGCCTAGCCCCATATTGTTGCATTATAAACAATACAAAATACTACTACATGTATTTTTGTAAGCCAGAAAGTTTCTGCAGGGCTGGAGACGGCAGCTCACCTAGCCCCAGAACACCTAGTTGGTTGAATGTTAACATGGGAAGTAACTATGTTGAACGTTTTGTTCCTGTATTCCAGGAAGCCATGAGCTTTGGCCTGCGGTCATTGACCTCAGAGTTAGTGAATGATACATTGAGTCCCGTTTTTTTCTTAATTCCTAGAGAGTTTCATACATTTATACACTGAGTTTTTTGTGCATCATCTTCAGTCACACAGGTTTTCATTACACCTAAGCTCAGTCCAGGAACAAGACAGGAGGGCCCACGTGCTGGAGACTGATGCAATTTCAAAGGGTTCCTACAGGGGAAGGACCAATCTCCCAGGCCCTTGAGCTGTTTTAGCTTATGTTCACACCCTCAGGGTGGAGACTCTCATTAAAGAGACATGCAGAGATGTACAAAGCACTAAGAAAGCTGCTTTACCAAGAGCTTCAGGAAAAGTAAATTTCTAACCTATGTTTCAGGCCCCAAAGTCCAGTTCTCATACAGAAGAGCTCTGACTTCTCAGAACTAAAATGTGTGTGTACACATAGTCTCCCTGTTTAGAAATTAGAAAAAAAATGTGATTTTATCTCTTTATCTTACAGCAGTGTGGTCATTAGTAAATTTGCTGTGTAGCTATTTCCTAGGCAATAAAATACTGCTTTCTGAAAGGAGAGAGTCTGCTCCTGAAACACAGGACCAGGAGATAAGACAACTGATAAGATCAGGAAGCACCTGAAAGTTAAAGGATTCACTGAGGCCCACCCCAATGTTATAGAAGCAGTAACTGCTGTGGAAAAGGCTCACCTTCAGAGCTCCCTGCGAGTGGTGCAAGGCTCCAGAATGCATCTTCTGTGAGTCATGTCTGGCCTGGGCTTTTCAAAGATGAAGCTGCCTTTGAATCATCCATGCTCCTGTAAGTTAAGCTCATATTCCTATACACATCTCAATAAACTCGCTAATTCAACTAAGCTAGCCTCGGGTGGAATAATTTATCTGGTCTGTTAGTGTCCAACCTGGAATGCATTTGTTCATGTGTCCTCCGGAAAAGCCTCGCAGTGCTTGTTTTCGTAAGTCTCCTCTGCCACTTGGAGATGTGTGTAAACCTTAAGAGTTAGCAATGCCGTTCAAGCTGCACACCAGCACTGCTTTCTCAAGCACTGGGTGCCCTCTTGCTGTGGAATCACCCAGAGGCTTAGTGCCTACATACCAGACTCTGGGGATCTTGGAAGCCTACCTTGGGCCCTTGAGTAGGAAACTGATGCTCTCATGAAGATGAGTCTCTTGTTGCTGTGCCGCATACAGTTCAGTAGGTGCCATGAATGGAGCAAGGTGAGTGCTACCCTCCATGATGGAGTGTTGTTTCCAGGAGCATGCTGTGGGTGTGCCTGCGACTATATGACAGGGGGAAGTTCCATCATGTCTGGAACCCTGTCATTTAGATGCAGTGGTGGCATCCCACTGGGGAATTCCCAGTTCAACCATAAGTGTCTTCTCTCCTACCCCTGCAGAAAGGCCTTCTGGGTCGGAAGGTTTTGTTTTCAAATCCGCCAACTTTAACATAGCTAGCCTGGGCTCAACACAGGAGCTCCGTGGGCAATGGGAATACTCCCTATGCCTCAGTTCATGGCACTGTAGTATGTCTTCTAGCCCACACAGATGGTCACCTACCTGTTAGAATCCCACTGAGCAGATTTTTCTGAAAGCATGTGGCTCACTGGCCTCTGGGAGGAAGAAGGCTGTGGTGTATGTGACCATCTACAGAAGGAGCCATGCCTGAGGGAGGCCTCTGTACAGGAGCTGCCCCAGAACCAGAGGAGATGACATCCTTTTGAGGCAGTCTTTTTCCATCCGTTCCACTGTCTGACCAAGGGACAACAGTGTGTCAGCTTCTCACTGAGGTGTCCATCCCTGCTGCTGACAAAGGACACCTACTATAGCCACTGTCCTTCAGCCAGTGCTGGGATGCTCAGCCCTTGCTGGGATGCTAGCTGGTCCTAGTTTGGTGCTCTGTTGAGAAATCCAGAGGCCACCACACCCGGGCCTCATCTCTTCCTAACCCATCCAGCCCAGGGTCTTGGACAATCTCCTGACCGGCGTCTGAGTGGCCTGTGAAGCCTGCAGGAGTCCCTCTTTTAGAGACTCTGCGGGCAGCTGGGTCTAGTCCTGGAAGAGACTATCCAAACCTCTGAACCAAAACAAGCCTTTTCACTTTGCAAGTGGGTTGTCTCAGGGACTGAACGATAGTGATGTGAATCTGACTCACCATGAGGGGCAGGACTCACACCCAGGTTGCTCTAAAGCCAGCATGCTGTGGCTTCAGGCCTGAGCACATGAGCAGGAGCTTGAAGTCATCAAGGCTGCCTATTCTGGACAGAAAGGAGGCAGGGTTTGGGGAACATGGACAGCCTGTAATAGACCTGGTTCTCAAAGAAGTCCCAGACGAAGCACCAGATCACTGTCTCTCTCTCTCTCTCTCTCTCCCTCCATCTTCCAATCTCTCCCACCCCATTCCCAATGTGCCAAACCCAAGTGACGACTGAGAAGTGGCCTTTTGTAGCTCTGGCTGTGGCAGTACAGAAAGCCAGGCTCTAGGACTGTCCTGGGCACAAAGGGCTGTAGAAGCATCTAGGACAGCAGGTTGTGATACATCTAAATTTTGTCCCCAAAGCAGCTGACCCAGAAGGCCATGCTTTACTCTCCATGGTGACGGAACAAAGTTGCAGTGAAGCCAAGAAAAACACAACAACAAAGCCAGGAATGGCCATGAGCCAGCACTGCTCCAGGCTGCTGAGCAGGCACAGATTGAGATTGGGGTGAGGTAGGAGGTTGGCAGCAGGAGGCCATAGACAGAGCCTGAGAACCACTGGGTTCTCCTAAATTGCAGCTGGAGGCTTAGGAAAGGCTGGGTTCCGAATGGTGGAGGGGTTGTGCCAAAGACAACACCTCCACCATGCTGACTCGGAGCTTGTCTTCCCCAAGCCTGGGAGCAACAGTGACCAGGGGTCCACAAGCCCCTCCTCCACCTTGTTCCTGCTGGCTTTCCATCCAAGGAGCCAAATACATGTGACCTACAAAACTATATCTTCTGGTCTCTTTCCCATCCCTCTCCCTCCCTCTCCTTTCTTTCCTCCTGCTCTTCCAAATAAATTAAAATAGCACTTGATTGTTGGGGGGGGGGTGTGCTGCTTAGGAAAGTGGGCTACCATAGCACTAAAGGCCACTAAGGTATAGTCACTGTCTCCTGGATCAAAAAAAAAAAAAATGGACATATGCCAGTGCCTGCTATCTGAAGAGTTAATTCAGGGGCTGGAGAGATGCTTTAGGGGATAAGTGTACTGGCTGCTTTTCCAGAAGAACCAGCTCCGGTCCCAAGTCTCCACAAGGCAGCTCACAACCTGTAGCTCTAGTTCCAGAGAATGCAACAGCTTCTCTGGCCTCTGTGCACACGTAAGTGCACAGACACACAGGAAAGCAAAACACCTGTACACATACTAGTACTAAAAATAAAATAATTCTTTATAAAAGAGTTAATCCAATTGTACCTGTCAATGGTACCATGGAACCATCCTCAGCATGGGGGGTTCATGTACACACACACACACACACACACACACACACACACACACACACACTCACATACACACGTCTACTTGCCACAGATAGGGCTGATGACAGACCAAAATACAGACACCATCAAAGTCCAGCTTAGTGATCCAGTGTTTCATTGGATCAAATACAGAAATATTGGTGAGTGGTTATTTACAGGCTCAGGAGTGATTCAAAACAGCAAAACAGCTCCATCATCAAAGCCTACCCCATCATGAGTGACAGATCACAAAAACAGGAAAACTTTACCAAACTGTACACTGGCAGCTCAACAGGTTGGAGAGTGTCCTCTCCAGGTGGCTCAGTAGGTCTGAGTTTCTTCTAGGTAATTTGGCTGATATCAATTCCTTCCAAGCAGCCTAACTTGTGTTAGAGTCTCACAGCAGTCCTTACTGCTCATATATGCTTATATGCTCAAGGAGGGAAGAATAGTAAATCTGGTCAGTTTCAGGGACTTCCTGAAGTTCTTGAGTTGCTTAATTCCTGAGCTCAGGAAGCTTCTCTGCAGGTGGAACAATTCACCTCTCCTTGCAAGTTCATTGTTTTACCTCTCTAAACATCCTATGTCTTAACCAGCTTCCCTCCAAGATGGAAGGTTTTAATAATAGGAAACTGATACACAGCACCCATTTTCTCATGAGCACCTTGAGAATGGTTAACCTGGAACCCTAGATTGAAGGGTTGAAGCATCCTGAGTTGCCACAGCCTCCACCAGGACCTGGGTTTCAGCCTCTGGTTTGCAATGAAGAAGCTACATGCAGCATCCCTGAGCTTTTAAAAACTGGCCTCTCCCTCCATGAGCTTAGACATTCTGCTGCAGCCCTCTCCACATCTTTGAGGTGGTCCTCCTGTTCATCACTCTCTGAGTCGTGCTGACCCTTGTCATTTCTTCCCTAAATGCACTTCAAGGTTGTGCAAATTTCCCTGTCTGGTCTGTGTCATAATTGGCAGGCCATAAGGCACACTGTTCCTGCTGATGTCTCCTTAGTCAACACCAAATAAGGTTTCCTTTGAAAACAATAAACCCGCTGGGTCCACAACATTGTAAGCAAACAAGACCTTTTAGCCATTAAAAATACCCTCTCAACTTGTCTTCAACTCAGCTATATGTGCTGTGGTTACTATTGGGAGCCAGCACTGATTGAGTTCCAGGACACCTTGTTGATCATGGGTTTCTGCAGCATGCAGCCTGAACATCTAGGGACCCTTGTCTTACCAGGACAACCCACACAGCTCCTCTTCCTGCCATGACTAACTCGTGTTCCAAGTGAATAAACACAGATACCCACAGATACCCAGATTCACCTCCACACTTGTCATTTAGCTTCCCAGCTAAAAGCATATTGACAGCCTCAAGTGCATCTGGAATGCATTACCTGCACTGCTTGGCTGGGATGGTATTCCCATGTAACCAGGTTTCTACTAGAACCAGCCACTCCTTCACATGAGGTCACCTTTTCCCTAGGGCTAAGCCTTGGTCCTACCTCAGGAGCATTCCCGCTTCTCTACCTGCCCACACTGCTCAGGAGACCAACCTCTTCTGTACTGTTTCTCTGGGCATCCTTTCTCTATCCTGACATCTCAGCATCATCCCCCTCTGGTCCTTGTCACAGCCTTGAGGGTGTTCCACTTTTCCTTGGCCCCAAAGCTCCTGTGGGACTCCTAAGTAAGAACTCACTGTAGGCTGCTCTCCACCTGTTCGGGGAGTGTTGGTATAATGTTCTTCTGAAATGTGTACACCTTACCCTTGTTCATTCAAAGGCTGATTTCCCCCACCCTTCTGGTTTCAATCCGGATATTGCATTGTGATACTTACTCTAAGCATCCTGTTTCAACTGTGTGTAAACAGGCCAAAATAAAACAATTAGCCACAGTGTTGTGCAATGGGAGGAGCCAGAGGACAGGAAAGAGGAGAGGAGCCAGAGGGCAGGAAATGAATGGGAGGAGGAAGGGCGAGAGGAGAGCTAGGAGAGCAGAGCTGGAGGAGAGATCTTGGAGGACATGGAGTATGAACCAGACCTAAGATTTCACAAAAAGCAAGTATAATGTGGGAAATATAAATGTTAGGAAACTATGAGGACTTGGAGGTTTAAGAGGGAGTAACTATTGCTCCACATTGTGTTCTAGGTTAACTAAATAAACCCAGTCTCTGTGTGGTGATTTGGTTATACAGCTGTCTAGGATTAACAGTAAGCTTTACTAAAAGATAATTATTAGTAAATATTAATCGCCTATTACAACAGGGGAGTCATGAAAGAGGACAGCAGGATCTTCACAGGCCTGCAGGTCAGGGTTGAGGGCAGAGGAGGAGCATTGCTTCCATCGGGACAGCTCCTTGGAGAATGGTGGCCGACTGAGTTGCCTGTGAGGCAGCCCCTCAGCTAAACCATATGAGATGGGTGAGTTGTCTTCTGGGCTCTCAGCAGCCCCCAGAGCGCACATGGCTGTCCCCTGCCCAGGGCCTGTCCTCCAGAAGGCAGCCCTCCTGAAGCTGAAAAGACAGCCCAACTGGTATATTCGCATGATAGTGGAAAGGGAGGAGCCAGCATTCATTGCCCTAGAACAGGTACAGGTAGGCTTAGACAGAGAAAAACTTGCCACAAAGGACTTTGCTGCTGAGCCAAATAACCTGGACTCTTGACAAGGACATTTGAGCATGGGGTGATTTGTACTGTTGCCTAGAAGGTGTGCACAAAGGACTAGGATATCCTCAGGGAGAGTCAGAGTGTGCTGTGTGGGAGACAGTGTGGCCTGAATGGACCAGGAAGAGAAGTAGCAGCCCTCTCACAAGGTTAGGGACCCAGGGACCACCGCAGGCCTACTTTTCCCCTCAGAGTAGCTCCATGGGGATCAGAAAATGAATGGACAGGTCCTTTCCCCTCTGTCACAGTCTAGCTCTTGCCCTTTGGTTGGTGATTATCCAGGAAGCAGCCAAGGAAGTGCTTGCCCAAGTTTTCTCCCCGGAGGTGGGGGCAGGTCCAGGCAGGTTCTTCTGAAAGTCCAGTCTGCAGTGTCCTGGGATTTCCTGCTCTGTGCTATCAGGTGAAAGAACAGAGAAGCAAGGCTGGGCAAGGAGGGTCTCCGTGGGTCTGGAGTTCCTCAACCTTCCTGAGGACTCAAGGATAGGGTGTGTTGGCTTGAGCTGTTATTCCTGACTAAATTAAACTCTCTGATTAGCGGGAAGAGAGGCCTTGCTGAAACTTGTATTTGGTATGCGCCCTAAAGAGGAAACGGCTAGATACCAGATTTCTTGCCACAGGCACCAAAAATTTTGAGCGCCCTTGAGTAAAGACAGTGACAGGGAAGGGTTGCCACCTAATATACTATTTAATATAATCCTCACGATTACCTAGGAAACCAAATGTTATTTTACTGTTCTGCAGATGAAGCCAAAGATTGAGAAAGGCCGAGTAGCATGACTAAAGTCACAAAGATGAAAAGGGGGAAGCCAGAGGAATAGTCAGGTGTTAGTGACCTCATTCTTTCTTCCAGTGAAATCCTATTGCTTCCTGGGTGACACCAGAAAAAACACTCTTGAGTAAAATTTACATGGCTCCTAGGAGGCTGGAGGAGGGTTGAAGAGTCTCTGTGGATTCACATGGTTTTCCTTCTCTTCTGCAGGGCTCAGAGGAGGTGTGCGGGCAGGTCTGGCTGTCCCTTGTGGATGCAGATTTGAGACCCAGAAGTCTCCCCATGACTCCTTATCACATCCGACAATACCAAGAGAGGGACCACAAGCAGGTCCAGGACTTGTTCTGTAGGGGCATGGAGGAGCACATCCCTACTGCCTTCCTCCATGCATTGCTGCTGCCCCGAACTCTCCTGCTCTTACCTGGGGTGCCCACTGCCCTGGTCCTGGTGTCTGGCTCCTGCCTGCTGGCCCTTATGTGTAGCTTCTTTCTGCTCCTGTTTCTACGGCTCTTTGTCAAACAGTCCTCGAAGAAGTTTGTGGCCTTGCGTTTACGCACAGACCTGGCTGACACCACCAAGTCCTACCTGAGTGAGCCTGGCTCCTGCTTCTTGGTGGCTGAGTCTGTGGATCAGGTGGTGGGCATGGCAGCTGCTTTGCCAGTCAAGGATCCCTCAATAAAGAGGAAGCAGCTGCTGCTCTTTCACTTGTCTGTGTCCTCACAGCATCGAAGACAGGGGATAGTAAAAGTGCTGGTCAGAACTGTCCTCCAGTTTGCACAAGACCAGGGCTACAGTGAGGTTGTTCTTCGTACCGCCGTGCTGCTGCGTGACGCTGTGGCCCTCTACAAGGGAATGGGCTTCCAGAAGACAGGCAAGTCCTTCTTCAACACAACAGCAAAGCTACTGGCTGTTCCTTCAATTCACTTCATGTACCCGCTCCCCTCTACTCAGGAACAGGAGCTGGGATCTTTCCCTATGCATCTGCCAGCCTCCAGCTCACAGTGCTATCACAAGCAAACCCTAATACTGAAGTGGGTCATAAAGGTGTATTTGTCTTGCTCGTTGGAATACTATCTGTTTGATGGTGTGTAAAGAACAGGGGCAATCATGTACTCTAGTTCCTCCAACATCAACATCCTGTACAGGGTGTCTGTGAGCACTGATGGAGTAGGGTGGTTTCGTGGCCTGACCAGCATGTGTGGCCCCTGCTGGCACTGACTAGACTCAGCCTCATGGGCCTGCATGACTGAGTAGAGGCCAAGTATGGCATGTGTCTGTAGGTCCAGGAAGAGGGTAGGAGACTATTGACTGTCCTAGATTTACTACTCTTGGGAACTGAGGCTAGAGTGGCCTTAGTCCTGAGACTAGGAACTCCAGTAACTTAGGTGCCTCAGGCCTGACCATTCCATTATACAAGCTCCGTGGATGAATTAAGACATGGTGGTGTGCTGGTGTTGTCAAGACAGTTTGCCATTTCTGCAATTTAATCTCTAGCACAGACATACCAATATAGTTCTGACACTGTCTCACACTGGGATTCCCTAACCCAGAAGGACCTGCTAATCACAGCTGTCTAGGTTATCCTCAAAGGAACTACTGCCCAGCCTTGGCATTTCATTGGCTTATAGATGTCTTTGAGAGATCTGATAGGCAACTCTCTGCCCTCCTGCCAACTAGTCTTCTCATAGATTCACATATCTTCATGGTGTCCTTTTGGCAAGTCACAGAATGGCTCCGAACCAAAAAGACTTGTTTTCCAGGAATGCATGCTTTTCTCTGAGACTTTCACATAGACAAACATGATTTTTTTTTCTCCTTACTAATTGGCATTTCCAGTTTCAGAAACTGCTCTGCTGGCTGTTGGGGTGGAAGAGAGGGTTGTTAAATCACATCAGGCAAGATACTCTTGTTGATATGATAATGGCATAGATGCTATGGGTACAGCCAACTACTTTCTGAATGAATTGCAGGAAAGGGGAAAGCCATGGTATTAAGCACATAAAATATGTTTTAAACAGATAGTACAGAATTGGCTATGAGTTCTTGTTGCTCTTCCGGAAGACTCAGGTTCAGCTCTCAGCACCCACACAGTGGCTCACATCCACCTGCAACTCCAGTTCCAGGGGATCCAATGTTCTCTTCTGGCATCCAAGGGCAATGCGTACATACAAGTGAAGCACATATGCGCACACAGGTGGGACCGAGTATCTGATCACACTGTGAACTCTGAGACTGTATTGTTGACTGGGAAAACCTGTTTCTAGTTGTGGTGTGGCTCAGCTGTAGCACACACCACACATTCAAGAGCTTGCTGCTTGAAATATTGTAAAGAAGATTAAATAAAGTTAACCCTAGGTCAAGGGCCAGAGAAAGCAACCAGCTGACAGGGAGCTGACAGGGAACATAGGAAAAAAACATAGAGAGTAAGAGAAAGTCAAGAGACAGACTTGACAACACTGGACCCCCTGGAGCTGGAGTCTCTCTGGACAGAGAGACCCATAGGAAGTAGAAGAGGAGAGCATTCAGTTTGAGGACAGAGTGGAGAAAAAAAGATTCCTCTTTCTTTTTCCTTTTCTTTTTTCCTTTTGAGATGTCTGCTGAGGAGGAAAATCAGCTGGGTGATTTCTCTGCCTCTCTGAGCCAGCATCTGGCTTCCGAGTCTTTATTGGTAAAACCGAACATAATAAAGATGTCCCTATGCTGTTGTTTTTGTGAAAATTAGGGCTTATTTGGCAGTGCTGCTTTTGAGTAGTAAACAATGATAAAGTCCAGTGAGAGGAAAAATAAATCAAGAACAGCCATTGAGGGTTACAAGTGTTTTTTAGGGTACTATCTGAAACGCTCAGAGGTTTCATAGCAGAGATGTCCCTGTGCTGGTAAGTTTATGAACCAAGAGGTCATTTAGCTGTGCATCATGCCACAGAAATCTTTCCAATGGAAGCTGCTGTCTTAAGCTCAGCCTCTGCTTGGAATGCTTTGTGCTATTCACAATTGTTCCAGCAAAGCTTTCCTCTTGGCATGGTGGCAGCCTAGCAAAATAGTCCTACAGGAAAGACGAGGGAGAAAGAGTGAGAGGCTTGGCTTTGTGTGAGAAGCCTGTCATGGTCCTTTAAAAAAAATCTGTGGTATTAGTTTGCCAGGAGGCTGTGAAGATAGGACTTTAATATAAAGTGTTTCTAAATATTTTTGTTTTGTTTTTCAAGACAGGGTTTCTCTGCGTAGCCCTGGCTGCCCAGGAACTCACTCTGTAGACCATGCTGTCCTCGAACTCAGAGATTCCCTTCTGAGTGCTAGGAGTAAACGCATGCCTCACCACACCGGGGCAAGTGGGCCAAGTATTTCTAAATCTTAATGTAAAGACAGCATTAAAAATGTTCTGCAGAGGCCAAATACACCTGGGAAACATGTTCATAAAACCACTCTTCCTGCCTGCTTACACATTTTTTATTTTACAATTTAATTTTTAAATTTTATGGGTACAAGTATATTTCCTGAACATATAGATGTGCACCACAGGCAGTCTAGTGTCTGTGGAGGTTAGATAGGGCATTGGATACCCTGTAACTGGAGTTACCCATGGTTGTAAGCAGCCATGTGGATGTTTGGAACCAGCCCTGGGTCCTCTGCAAAAACAAGTGTTCTTAACTGCTGAGAGATCTCTCCAGCACCCTGTTTTTTGTATTTTTATGTTGTGATTTTTTTTTATTACTTATGCTTATTCTTTGACAACTTCTTGCTGGTATGTAATGTATTCTGATTATTCTTTCTTCCCACCCTCTTTTATTTTCCTTCAATCTCTATCAACATTCCCTCTTCCCCGAAAGTCTCTTTCCCAGAATCATGTCTTTTTTAGTTTATTTTGGGACTCACTGAGCTCGACTAGAGCCATCTGTATTGTATTTTATTTGTGTGTGTGTGTGTGTGTGTGTGTGTGTGTGTGTGTGTGTGGTGCATTCATGTCCACAGGCATATTCACATGTGTTAGGGCATGGGCAGACCTTGACATCATCAGAAGTCTTCCTCAGCCACTCTCTGTCTGTGTTGAGGCAGACTCTCTCATTTGAACACATAGTTTGCTAATCTGGGGAGTCTAACTAGCTAGCTCAGTCTGGGAATCCCCTCTCTGCTTCTCACCTGTCAAGATTACAAGTTAACCATCATGCTCACCTGACATTTATGTGGCTGCTTGGAGGTCTGAACTCTGGTCCTCATGCTGGTAAGACAAGAACTTTACCCTCTGAGCCATCTCCCCAACTCCCTACTTTTCTTTTAAACCGTCTTTACTGGGTTATCAAACTGCCAGAGGATCTGTCAAAATGGAGATGTTCAAATAAAAGACTTAAGGAAGAAATGTGAATTATTCCTAAATAGAAAGACAGACAGTGAACTCTTCCATTCCACAGACTTAATGGATACAAAAGGAACAGGAAAGAAGGACAACAGAGAATTCAAACAGAGAGACAGAGTTTTAGGGGAGAGAGTAAATGAGAGCAGACAGCACTTTACTGCCATTTGACCCCAGGCAAAAGCCAACTTTCAGTCCACTTAGCAAATGAAATTGGTGCTTTACCTTAGGCTTGGCAAATCTACTGTTAGTATTTTGGAACACAAGCTGCTTCTGGGTTGCCCAGCAACCTATCATGTGTCCTCAGCCAGCCAGGTGACCACACCTGGAGGTCATGGTTTCCTTACAACTTAAAGGGCCCACCCGGACAGGTGGTCCCTCTCTTGCTCTCCTCTCTCTCTCTCTCTTCCGCCTCGTCTCTCTGCAACCCCCTTCTCCCTTCCCCTAATAAACCTCCCACATGGAACCGATCTCGTGGTGTGATTTGTGAACCCGCCATGTAATCCTCACAGGCGCACGTTTCCTAACACCTACCAACTTACCCCTTTTGTTTGAAAATTTTGTCTTCTAATTATAATTTTTTTTTTATTCTTGAGCATTTCAAACACGTATACAATGAAATGTGATCCTATCCACCCATTTCTTTCCTCAAACTCTACACATATCCCCTCAATATGTCCTCCTCTCAACATTGTGATTTTTACAGAACTCATCCCCTGAGTGGCAGAGAAGTAACCAAGGCTTCATGCCAAAGCTGGGCTGCAGAGAGTGGGGGAGGACATGGGCCCACGGCAGGAACGCATTTAAATAGCAGGGCCACTGAAAATGGGCTGAGCCACCGCTGTCGTTTCTGCATTTCCCTTTGTCCTCAGCTACCTTAAAAACTCCAGCCAAGGAGCTACTGTGCTGGTTTATGTCTGGACGGAAGCCTGCTGTACATGCTTCCACCAGACGAAAGAAGAAAATCCCAAGAAACTCCTCCCCCACTCTGGCACAGGACGAAATCAACTCCACCTCCAGAGCCAACGTGAAATGTGCATTTGCCTGACTTTTGTGCTTTGCTAACACGTGTCTGTAGGTTACACAGACTTGAACGCACCGTTAGCGACAAAAAGTTCCACTACTGCTCAAGATAAAATGGTTAACTTTAGCATTTTTTCACGTGCATGCGGCATGCGTGCACAGGCACATTCACGTGTGTCAGTGCATATGTGTGCGCAGGTGCTTGTGCACGTGTGTGTGCACACTTGTGGAGGCTTGAAGTTGACATGTCTCTTCCTCAGTCTCTTTCACCTATATTTATCGAGGCAGAGTCCCTCACTGGGCTTGGAGCTCTTCTGGCTAGCCAGCTTGCTCTGGGGATCCCTTGTGGGTCCTCCTGAGTGCTGGGATTTTAGTCAGCCTCCTTGCTTGCTCGGCTTTTATATGGGTTCTAGGGATCGAATTCCTGTCTTTGCACGGCGAACACTCTATATGCTGAGCCATCTCCTGGTCCCTGCGTTTATTCGTACACAGTCTTCAGAATAGAGTTGAAATGATTGTTACAGGTTTTGCTGTGGATAAGAACTGGGCAGTAATGTGGCTGGCCAGGCACGCTCCGTCCCTACTTCTACATTTTCACTCTGCAGCCCTTATCCTTTGGCTGGATAGCATCAGCTCGTGTGACGAACACCCTTTTGCTTTTTATATTGCTTTTTGCAATAATCTGCAAAACCCTAATGCCACATTCCCTTGAAAGCGGGTCTTTGCCTATAGGTTCGATTCCATCAGCTGTATCACATTTTCCCTAGCAACCTTCATTCTACAAGTCTGCTGACAGGCTCAGCAACGATTCTAAGCTACTTTTTTCCACTGGTGATGTCGCGTACGAGCACACCACCTATCCTAGCCTCTCTGTAGGAAGTTGTGGCGGTGGAAAGCACCACTGGCTTGCGGGACCCCTTTCGGTAGCTTGGCCTTTCCCTGTAACTTAAAGTTTACTCCTCATCTCGAAATAAAGGTTGCACTAAAGGCAACATCCGAGGAAAACGCAAAAGGAACAGGTCTCTCCGCTGCTCGCCACCCCGCAGACATCCCAGAGCAGGAAGGGCAGGTCTTCTTTGGAAAGAGCGCCCTCAGGAGTTCAGTGCTTCTTCCTGCAGCCGACTCCTCCCTCACCCCGGCCCCTCCGGTCGAAAGGAAGTTAGAGAGAAGCAGCTGGAGACCTACTGAGGCTCTGAGGAGGGCATTCCAATGGGGGGCGTCCCTGCCTCCAAGCCTTAGAGTCTAAGGCGGCAACCACACCTTCGCAGCTTCTCGGGAGCTGGTTGGAACACAGTGTCCTTCCGTTCACCCTCATTAAGTTCCCTGGGACATTCCCAGGGGCCGGGGAGCTAGCTCTACAGTCTCTAAGAGTGGGCAAGTGTGCATACTGCCTAACCCCCGACCGGAACTCGGCGCAAGGACTCTTCAAGGGCAGAGGAGGAGGGCTGCCAGCTCGCGAACCCAGATGGACCCCTTTGTCCAGCTTTCATCGTGGCAGTCACCGAGACTGAGCCTTGTGTTCCTGAAAGCCTTGTTCCCTCACCACCTGTGATGTTGCCTGAGGCCTGATCAACGCAGAAGCGGAAACAAGGCATCTTCAGTCCCCAAGGCAAGTAATAACGAGTCTTTCAGGAAACCTGAGATTGATTTCCAGGATGTTTATGGGTGAAGCATCTTCAGAGAGGGCTGGGACCACTTTATAGTCCAGGATGGTTAGCTCAGCTCTTCCTGAAGGGTGGAGAGAGAAGGCCTATGCTGTGCAGGTGCCTGCAACCGCATGCGCATGGAGAGACTGTGCGGGTGGGTCACACGGACAGTTAAGAGCAGCAGCAAGTCCAGTGGGACCTCACACTGCTGAAGTCCACGTGGCAAGTAGGATTGTGCCAGGAGAGCTGAGGGGCTTGCGGGTAGCTCAGGTTTAGAGAGGAACCAGAGAGCTGCAGATACCACAACACAGGCCGGAATCTGTCCTGGGGATGTTTAGCATTTGAGAAATAGTGAGTAAACATTGCCAGCCGGCCAGACGCTACAAAGTTTCACAGTGTAAAGGGTTAATTTTATATTATATAGATTTTATCACGAAATTAAAAAGGCAGTTAGGAGGGTCTTAACTCACACACATGCATGCACAGCCACACACACAATCACCGTACACAGAGTGGACAGTGTTCTTGGGGACTCGGGGACAGTGTCTAGACCCATTGGGAGGTGCCACTTTGACCCCAACTGTACAAATAGAAAAGGGGGCTGAGAGCCGAAGGCATTCACTGGGATCTGAGTCCTGCTGGGTTCCACTGTAGCTTCGGTATCTCGTGGAGCCTACCTTCAGCCTAGAAATCAGGAAATCCAAACAGGATTTCCCAGAAGAGCGCGCGCTCAGAATACAAGGCTCCTTTGCTGCTCAGTCGACACTCAGCCTTATCTGTTCCACAATTCCAAGAAGCAAGAATGCCCCATTTGGGGGGTCAAAACCAGTAAAACATCAAATGGGCTCAGCCCTTTTAGTATCACAGATCTTAAAGATCTTATATTTAAAACAAACAAACAAACAAACAAACTCAAAATTTGGCATAGCAACTTCAGTAGAGGTGTGTAATCTGGCTAAAGTTAGGAGGATCCATGACATCCTGAAACTACAAACTCTGAACCTCAGCACTCAGCAGAGTGGGCAGTGAGGCTGCCCTCAGCATGAAGAAAGCACCTTTGCACTCTCTCTGCTGTGCTTAGAAATCCCACACTCAAGGCTGGAAAGATGGCTCAGATGTTGAGAGCAGTGGCTGCTCTTGCAGAGGTCCTTAGTTCAATTCCCAGCAACCACATGGTGGCTCCCACCCATCTATCCCGGGATCTGATGTCCTCTTCTAGCATGCAGTGTATATGCAGGTAGAGCACTCATGTAAAATAAACAAATAAATAAATGTATCTTAAAAAAAAAAAATCCAAAACTCCCAGGAGGCAGGGAAGCCTGGTCAGCCAGTCTCTTCCAGACAGATTCTGTCCCAATCCTGGAAGGGATTTTTCTGGAAGCTTCCACTCTGGGCATGGAGACCGAGGGCCAGACTGCAAGGCCTAAGGAAGGACAGGCCCGCATCACTCTGAATGTCCTCTACTCTGCTGACCTGTGTACATCCCTGTGTACAGGGATGTGTTGGTAAATTCCAGGAATGTTATGCGGGTTGTCTCCACCCAGACTCCCTTCAGCCAGTTCCTCACCTGATGAATGACTCAGCAAAGAAAGCTGGCTGGTCATGGAGGACAGATCTCCAGCATGTGTGGCCTGAAGCCAGTGATGCTCACCAAAGACCCAACTAGAGCCACACCTTGCCACAAGGTCACCACAACCTTGTCCTGCCTCTGCCTGGTTCACTGTGGGAGCAGGGCTGTTCTAGCTGCTGCTCCTTGATCCCTCTCGATTTCCACCTTTGCTGCCAAGAAAGGTTATGTAAGAATGTTATGTAACTCCCCCCCTTATTTGCAGCAGCCATTGGAAAGCCCTGTGTCCTTAACACACATACATACTGTGGACACTGCTGTCAGTTTGAACTTGGAACTGGGTGGCCACATGGCAAGAGTGAGGAAGGGGCCTGAGGAAGGGGTTCTAGGACTTAGTGTCGGCCAGAAGGAGGGACAGAGGTCTCTGCCGCCTCGAGCTCCAAGCTCTCTCAGAACATCATAGCCTCGTAGGAAGGTAACTGTGGAGGTCAAGATAAAGTTGGACTCCTACTAAAGTTGTCCACCCCATAATGCGCTGAACAGGATAGATGAAGGGAGGGACCCCTGACACCGAAACTCAGGAGACATCGTCCTTGCAAACCGACTTTTTAAGAACGAAATATTCTTTTTGTATGTGTGGGTACTTTGCCTGTATGCGTGCCTTTGCACCGTGTGCATGAAGTGCCTGCAGAGGCCAGAAGAGCCGACACTCAACCACTGAGCCATCTCCAGCCCCTGCCCCAAACCTGCTTTTGTACCATTTACGTCTTCGTTGTAGGAACTCCTCTCAGGGCTTCTGAACACCCTGAGAGTATGGTGGGCAGAGCCAGTCCATGACTCACCCCCTCACTTCTGCATGCACAGAGGTCCTTTATCCTTGTCTGCTGCTTGTTTCCTTTGGCGCATGGTATTTTCTCCTTTTGTGAGATGGATGCCTTACATCTGCATTTCCATGTAAGTTTTCTTAGGTTCCCAATGGTCCTTTATCTAAATTGGGGGGGGGGGGGATAATATTATTGAACTAATGGTTGTCTACACCCAGTCTCAGGTTAAAAAAACAAAACCTTAAATTATGATGGTAGGCCCCTTGAGACATTGGTGCTCCCACCCCTCCTCCATTAGATGGCTTTTGTTCTTGCCCTCCCTGAGGAGCTCCATCCATCCTGGAGCATGTACACTCTTGTCACCATAAACCTCTCTACCTCTGAGTCACCAGTACTGCTGTTGCCGGGGGCTGTCCATATCTTTAGATATGGACTCACAGTGGCTTGACTCTCCATCAACCTGGTGTCCTCGGGACTCAGCCTTTTTAATATGACAAGGAACCGGCCTTTAATGGCAAATGCACACTTCCTATCCTCAGAAAATACAAGTGAACTTGAGACTGAGCAGCTAAACATCCCTGACACTGGGATACTGAGGCAGAGGGGAACTAGGAAGCTCCAGCTTTGATTGTCTCAGAAGAGTGCTGGTGGGAGAGCACTCATCCTGCAGTCAGAACAGCAGAAAAGCCCTCTGTGGGCTTAGATTTTTCAAACACCTATTTTATTTAATATTCTTAAATACCTCTACCTCCCTTCTCAGACCTTAAATTAACAGAGTAAGGGACTGTGGACCTCTTTAAGCTACTTCCTGCTGAGTAGGGGGCGTTGGGTTCTTTGGGGATGTACCAGTCTCAGTCGTCAGGGTACCAGCAATGCAGTCAAACAGCAAAGCAGCAGACCACAGCAGCGACAGCAGGCAGCAGCCACAGGCGTGGTACCACTCAGCAGATGTGGCCAGACTCCGCCCAAACGGCATGAGTCAGCCAAAGCTGCAAAGCAGCACCAAGAGTTCTCTGCAGCATTTCTCTCTTGGAAAACCAGCAAAGCGAGCCTAACCATTTCAAAACATAGAGATGCAAAAAGCCCTGTCCCACAGTCTGTGGGCTTCTGTTTACCCCTCTCAGGGTCCATACAAGGATGTTTTCCAACTGGCAAAAACCACACCCCTGGAATGAAGTGCCCCAGGGAGGTGGGGGTAGAGGTAGGGGAAAGGAAATATTCCTGCATCCCACACTTGGAACCAAAACAAAAAACATATTCACATGACACAATTGAGTTTCAAAAAAAAAAAAAAAAAAAAACCAAAAACTTTAACTTCAGTCTCCAGTCCAAACCACCTTCAAGTCGCCTGGGGAGGTAGACTCCTGGGCTTTGAGAAAACCTCAGTGAACATCCTGAAGATACAGACACAGAGGGCAGGGAAAGCCCACCAGCTCTTGCTCTTCCACTTGACCTGGATTTTCAATTTTGGTTTTTCCCTAATGAGTTTTAATGTCCTTTAAGGCAAAACATAAAATCCATCAAATGTGACAGCGTGAACTACAATGGTCCCCAGTTGGTGGGACTTTTTTTTTACTCTCACATTAAGTATTTGAAATCTTTAACCTGTACTCCTTCTCTACACAGTCCACATTTTAAACTGTGCTGTGTGCCGGGGGTGCTAGGCATGGTGTGTGGTGCTCCAACACCGAGCAACGTCTAGATCTTACGCAGATACTGTTTGTCCAGGTCTGTCATCTGCTGGGTCTAAGAAGACGGGTGAGCGAGTGAGGGTCTGCTGGTAAGAAGGGCTGCAGAAGGTCAGTGAGGACCGCCAGACCCATTGCCAAGGAGCAGGCTCAGCTTGGAGGGAGACACTCAGTAATGAGGCTTTTGTTCCTGAGCCCATTGACCTGGATTCTTGCTTGCGACGAGGGAGGTCCAAATAAGTGGCTGAGTGTCTAGTTTTCTCCTAGCAAGTGCATGCAGAGACCAAAGTGGGCATCAGAGAGGACCGAGTGTTCACAGGACAAAGACTGTAGGCTGGAAGGGACAAAGAGATGAGCGGGCAGCCTCCCACAGGGCTGATGACCCTGGAGGCATCAGAAGCCCTTTCCCTTCCAGGTTAATTCTGTGAGGATCACAATGTTAGCTGGTCTTTAGCTCCCTGCCTTGTCACAACCCTGCTCCTTCACCCCAGGGTTTATGATTATCAAACATCCAGGTCCTAGCCAATGAGACCTCTATTCCGCTGAGTCCAGGGTGAGTCGCACTGTCTCAGACTTTACCTACAGGTGTTCTTGGGCTTCAGATGGATGAGAGGTGATATAATATGTGGAAACCAGGAAGAGAGAGGGCAGCTTCCCACAGGAGGAAGAACCATCCCAGAGCTTGCTTCTCCATACCAATCCTGTGGGATGACAAAGGGAGTGGGACAAGGGCTCTCCCTTTGGCCACATTCCAGCTCTTGACCTCTGGTTGATGATTATCCAGGAGCCAGCCACTGAGGCACCAGTCCAAGCCTGTTCCTCAGAGGTGGGACAGGCCCTGGAAGGTTCTGGATGTCATCAGAGGCTGAGGCTGTCCTGGACACTCGGCCTTACTAGCAGCTAAGAGAACAGAGAGACAAGGTTAGTGTTTCTGTGGGTGTAGAGTCCCACAGACTTCCTGGTTATTCAAGGGTGGTATGCTTGGGGCTTAACCCTTGTCTTTTAGTGAATTAAATCTTCTGAGCACAGGAAGAAGATTTGCTGACACGTGCTATTGGGAACACGGATTCTGAAATTTATAAATCCTGAAGAGGAAACACAGCTGGGGACACATCATCTTCCTCTGGGTACCATCCCAATGTACCGAGGATTGGAGAGCCTGTAACTGGGTGAGGTGAGAGGTGGAAAGGACACTGCACATCATGCCTGTGCTGTATCAGATCCCCCAAATTACCCCAGAAACCAGGGCCGCTTTACCCTGCTCTGTAGATGGGCATACACAGGTGCACAGAAGTTGACATGCCTGAAATCACATGACTTGGCGGGGGCAAGGTCCGGGGTATAATGTCCTGGAAACCAACACTTTGTCCCAGAATTGGCATTCTGCTCCCTCCTGGGTGACCGTGGAGACACACACCTGTGAGGCTGGAGGCTGAGAGCTGGCTGGTGAGGAGAGGTTTGGGAGACTCACTTGGCTTTCTCTGTCTCCCATAGGGCTACAAGGAAGCAGTAATAACAGATCTGGATAGCTCTCGTGGATTCAAAGTTTTCCCATGGCTTCTTTTCACATCCGCCTGTTCCAGGAGAGGGACTACAAACAGGTCGTGGACATTTTCTCCAGGGGCATGGAGGAGCACATCCCCGTTGCCTTCCATCACCTGCTGACGCTGCCCCGAACCCTCCTGCTCTTAGTTGGGGTGCCCCTTGCCATAGTCCTGGTGTCTGGCTCCTGGCTCCTGGTTGTCGTATGCATCTTCTTTCTGCTCCTATTCTTGTGGTTCCTTGCTAGCAAACCCTGGAAGAATTATGTGTCCACATGTTTGCACACAGACATGGCTGACATCACCAAGTCCTACCTGAGTGTTCGTGGCTCAGGTTTCTGGGTGGCTGAGTCTGTGGGGCAGGTGGTGGGTACAGTGGCTGCCCTGCCAGCCAAGAATCCCCCGTTAGGAAGGAAGCAGCTGGAGCTCTTTCGCCTGTCTGTGTCCTCACAGCATCGAGGACAGGGGATAGCGAAAGCGCTGGTCAGAACTGTCCTCCAGTTTGCACGGGACCAGGGCTACACTGATGTTGTCCTTACTACTGGCCTTTTGCAGCACGGTGCTGTGACCCTTTACTATAGCATGGGCTTCCAGAAGACAGGTGAATCCTTCTTGAACATCCTCATGTGGCTTACAGATGTTTCTCTAATTCATTTCATATACCCACTCCCTTCTGCTCAGGAACATGAGCTGTGATCTTCTTTCTCTCTCAATCTGTCAGCCTCCAGTTCACTGTGCTGTGGGAAAAAGTAACCCTGATATTGTAGGGGACAAATCATAAAACTGCCTTTGTTGTTTTCATCACATTCCTGTCTGTCTGATAGTATGTAAAGAACCAGGGCAATGAAGTGCTTTATTTCCTTAAGTCGGTTTCTGGTAGAGGGAGATCATTGGCCACTGATGCAGCAGGATAGACTTCATGGCCTGCCCAGCCTGTGTAATCACTGCTGGCACTGGCTAGACTCAGTCTATGGGCCAGTGTGAGCCTCTGGAGGCCACGTGTGGAGTGTTTTTGTGGGTCCAGAAAGAGGATGTGGCATTAAAGAGTAATTTCAACTCTACCTCTTCTTGCATCTGAGGCTAGACCCATCCTGCATCCCAAGGATGGGGACCTCAAGAAATGTAGGTGTGCCAGACCTGATCATCCCATCCTACAAGTCTCCAGTACATTATTGTATAAGACGTGACTCCTTATTCCTGTCTGCTAGACCACTTGCCGTTTCATCTCTGCCGCTGTCGTGCCATTGGGTGTACGGAGTCTCTCGTTGCATTTCCCCAGCCCAGAGGGTCCTGCTGGCTACAGTTGTCCAGGTTTCCCCTCATACAATCATTTGTGACACGCAGGAAGAACCAGGGCTACAGTTTGACCTGCCATTTCATTCTGCTCACAGATATCTCTTCTGAGGGAAGAGATAGGTGACTGTCATCCTGCCAAATGGCCTTGTCACAGGCCCATTTATCATCTTGACATCCCTTTGACAAGCCATAGAGTGGTTCCAAACCCAAGTAATTTATTACCTGGGACTATGGACCTGGGACTTTGGTGTGGCCTCCTACACAGCACTCTTTGCCTTTTGCTGCCTTGCAACAAACCTTCAGTCCCATCTTAAGAGCCATCCTCTTCCTCAGGCCTGCTTTCCTGTGCTTGTCTGACAACTCAGCCATCCATATCTGCTTCCTGTCCATTCCACCCCAACCACTATCCAAACCAAGTGACCTTTTGACTCTTTAAGTCTGCATCAGCTTCATACCCAACTGTAGGCCCCTCAAGACAGCCTGATGTCAGGGAGGTGTGGGATTTGCCCTCTCCAAGTCTCTTCTGCTTTCTTCATGCAGTAAGGTCAGGGCTTCCAGGAACAGCTACAGAGAGATGGGCCTGGCCAGATGGCTCAGTGGTTAAGGGCACTGACTCTTCTTAAACAGGATCTGGTTTCAACCTCCAGTACCCACATGGTGGCTTACAACCAGTTGAGGAGATCTGGGGCTTCTTCTCCATGGGCACCAGGTATAATCTAATGGTCCCTATCCTTTGAAATACATACAGAGTAGCATGAAGATGCTCTAAAACACATAGGACACACATGGGATCTGGATAGCAGGGACCAAATGGCAGCTATGGAGAAGGCCAGCAAGACGATGAGAACCTTTCATAGTGACATGATGGGAAAACTTGGGTGTCTGAGAGCAATACCTGAAACGCCAGCTTCTCACTGGTATGGCTCCATCAGGGCTGGGGCTTCTGCTTCTCAAGTGTAACTTTTCCTGTGAAGACATGAAGTACCATCCGGATGTGGGAACACTATAGGTGAAGGAAATCATTCCTTCCATGCTACCCAATGAGCCAGTGCATTCTCTAGCCTTTCTTAAAGCATCATGGGTCCTTGGGCAGCTATATAACCAAAAGCCCACAACAACGTGGTTATGGCCCATGAGAACTGCAGCCCACTCCGACATGGTTATAGCCCGGGAGAACTACAGCGCTGAAAGAGTCCTTACACAGCCTGCAGGCTGCGACGTTGCGAAGACTTTCACCTTGGCAGTTGTTACCTGCTCATATAACATTAGACATGGGTCCCCTGACTCCTTAAGCTGTCTTGGTATTTCAGAGCCTCCCTTTGCTTCCACAAGGAAATGTTCACTCTGGAAATGATAGCTACACGGCATTCATCTCCTTAATCCAGCGTTTACAATTCTTCACTGCGTTCCCTGGGCCATAGATGGAATAATGTAAATTCTAACATTAAAGACCACAGCATAAAATACTTATTTTCTACAGCTTAACTAGCTGTTCTTAACCATAGTAACCACTGTCCATTGTAAAAAGGAATTTCTGCCATCGAGGTTTACAGCAGTATAAACACAAATGTTTAGAAGGCAATTTGACACTCATTTAATAAAACAATGTCAGTAGCCTCCCTTCTGGAAGTCAGTGACATCCCATGGGTGTTTGACCCCTTACAGCACCAACTATAAGTTTCCCATGTGTGGCAGGTCTTCAGTCTGACCAGGAAGTTATTAGGTGCAGGTGTAACAACCATGCCACCGTTTGTGACAATTCTCCCTCGGGAGCCCAGGCAGCACTTTCCGGTAAATGCCTGCCGCTTGGGAGAGTATGCAGCCTAGCTCTGGTCTAGTTCCCATGCCCTAACAAAAACGTACAGCATGTTTAGCAGTCGTGATTTGCCGTATAGTTTTGGCATACAACCAACGGCAGTGGCAATAGCCTGAGTTGTGCCAGCCAAAGGTGCTTCCAGGCATCAATAAGGCAAACCACCACGGTCAGGGGAGACGGCTCAGCGGTTAAGAGCACTAGCTGCTCTTCCAGAGGTCCCGAGTTTAATCCCTAGCACCCTAGAGGCCCACAACCATCTATGGTGAGATCTGGTGCTCCTTTTTGTCGTGCAGGTGTACATGCAGACAGAACACTGTACCGAATAAATAAAAATAAAAAATAAAAACAAAAAGGCAAACCACATCTCACAAGGATGTTTTGATCCAACAGCCATATATCTTCCAGGAGTCATGTTTTCTACCCATAGAGGTAGGATTATTCAATTGTTTTTGAGATAGGATATCATTTTGTAATCCAGGCTAGCCTATAGCTCACTATATACACCAGGCTGGCTCAAACTTGCAGTGGTCCTCCTGCCTCTGCCTCCAGGTTCTGGGATATTAGACATGATACAATGCATCCATTTTCAAATTCTTGAACTTCTGTTTCTACAGTGTTTATACATGCTTTTACAGATCTGTAAGACAGCCACATGTTGGCGTTACACAATGAAAGCTTTACAGAAGGCAAACAAGTTTCATTTGGTTTTGGGATTCAGCAGTTAATGGGAGAGTTTAAGAAAACTCAGTGAGTTCTAATAGAGTATGACTTTCCATCCCATTATTTTTTTTTAATCAAGTGTTTCCTCAAAGAAGCAACGCTGGGAACAGTGGCATGGATGAGGGATGCCATGTTAATGATCGTTTAGCCCTCTACCGTCCACAGTCATTCTACGTGTCCCACGTGGCTTCCGAATTGTGGGGTGCTACCACAGGAATGCTTTCCCCACTACCTGGCATGTATGACTTAATGCATGGCGCGTCCAGAACCAAGAAGGAAGCCTGTGTTCATGCTTGCCAAGCCCACTGCTTGAGCAATCTCCCCAGATCTGACAGGATCCAAGCTGCCTCTGCTGCCCATTTCCCCACTAGCTACATCTGGATTCTGAAGGGGCCTTGAGCTACAGGAACCATCTCCGCACCTGGTGTATTTTCTTGACAGGGAAGAAATTTTCACAGTCAAGGGGAGTTATCTACTCGTGCCTGGGGCAAGCTGACTCCTCCCCACCTCCGCAGCTCTGTTTCTCTATCCACCCACTGCTTCTATTGCCTTGGGTGCTTGGGGGTCTCCATGAGCCAACGCCACTGACCCAGCATCCACCAGTGCCCACACATGCTTCCATCAGCAAACCTGCATTTAAACATGCCCCCAACCCCCCGGTCCTCACCTGCAAGTAGCCTTGGCTACCTCGGCCAGGGAGCTGCTGACGTCGTCTTCCTCCTCCGCAGCAGGTGCTGTGGGCATGACCAGCGCCCCCTGTTGTCCCTCCTCCTTAGCGGACATTCCAGGGCGAAAGTCTGCAGAAGGTCATCTCAACACAACTCCTGTCTAAGTGCCTTCAGATGACCAAGACAGGGTTGGCTTACCTGATTATCTTTCTCTTGTGCTCTTTCGATTGCTTCGGCACTTTTTGAACCCCAATTACAGGCCAGTTCAGTCAGTCAGCTCCATCAGCACCTCCACCAGCAAAACTCGTATCCCACAACGGGGCTCACCAGTCGCTCAAGGCTCGGACCAGCGGGCACTTAACTTTCTTTCTTAACTCTCTGGTCAACACAGCCCCATCTGCTCAGTGAACCTGCCTCTTAATATCATGATCATGATAAATTCTCTTGTAATCAGTCCTACCATAGCCTTTCCAGTAAGAGGTGGCTAGCATGTGTGCCTGCTCCAAAAGTGTTCCCTTTGGAGGCCGAAGCACATTTTCAGGACCATAGATAGTAGCTCAGCAGCCACCACACCAAAAAGCATATCTTAGCTTAAATCACAACAGGTGATAGAGGCACCTTGAGAATTCCCTCACAGCGTGCTGATGATAGTTACACCATTAAATTCTGCTTCTGGTCTGGAGAGGTGGCTCAGTGGTTAGAGCACTGGCTGCTCCTCCAGAGAGCCTGGGTTCAATTCCCAACACCACAAAACAGCTCACAGTTATCTCTAACTGGGAATCCAAGGTCGTCTTCTGGCCTGCACATATAACACACAGGCGTTCATGTGTTATATGTGCAGAAAGAACATTCATACACATAAAATAATTAAAATATTTTTAATTAAAAACATATTTCTGCTGTGTTGGGCCTGATAAGGCCTGCTGCATCTACCTGAGCCTGGCTCAAGTTTGGAGACCTGTCTTTGGCTTTCGATTTAAGAGGCGCCACTTCGGGCAAAAGTGATTCAGCATATCCGCCTTAAAATCAACCCCGCCTGGTAACGGTTAGGTGGAGTTTTGTCGCTGGCCCACCTCTCCTTGTGCTACCTAACCTTGCCCTCTACGTCATCTTCCCTCACTTTCTTAATCCTGCCTCCTGACCTAAACCTATAAAAAGGACTGTTTTATTCAATAAACCGAGTTCCTGCCTCCCGGCTCCGTGGTGGCTTATTCCCTGGGGCATCTGAGGAGGTCGGGCCATCGACACTCATCATCCCGCCCAGCCACGGAGGACGTCCAGCTGGACTGGCCACCCTCCTCTCAGC